AAGAAAAACGGTAAGCTATAACTAGTTATTAACTATAAACGCTTAAACGATATTATAATAAAGGACCGAATACTATTACTACTTATATCGGAACTATAAGATCGGCTATATAGTAAAAAATAGTTTATAGCCCTCGATCTTAAAGGCGCCTATAACTTAATACGTATAAAAAAGGGATATAAATAGATAATAGCCTTTAGAACGAAATTCAGACTATTTAAATATCTAGTAATACTATTTAGACTTATAAATATACTAGCTACCTTCTAATAAATAATTAATAATATCCTACGCGAATACTTAGATATCTTTATAGTAGTATACTTAGATAATATCTTAATCTTCTTAGATACCTTAGAAGAATATAAGTAATATATCTATAAGGTACTCTACGTACTTTAGAATATAAAGTTACTAGTTAAACTAAAGAAAAGTAAGTTTTATATATAAGAAGTAAACTTCCTTAGATATACGATCTTACTAAGAGAGATATAAATATAATAAGATAAAATTAACTTAGTTAAAGAATAGCTAACGCTAAAGAACGTTAAGGACGTATAAAGTTTCCTAGGATTTATAAATTACTATTAACGATTTATTAAAGATTTTAGAAAGATCGTAGTACTACTATATAACTTAATAAAGAAGGAAAAAGAATTTATATAGGACGATAAAGCTAACGAAGCTTTTAAATATATTAAGACTATAATTATATAAGAACTAGTCTTAACTACCTTTAATCTAAAACGATAAATCGAACTCGAAACCGATATATTAGACTTTACTCTAGAAGTATAAATCGGATAGAAAGATAATAAAGGAAAACTATAACTAATTATATTTTACTTAAAAAAGCTATATAGTATAGAACTTAATTACCCTATCTACGATAAAGAATTCCTTATAATTATTTAAGCTTTTAAGGAATTTCGATACTACCTTCTTAAAAGTAAATATAAAGTTAAGGTCTATATAGATTATAAGAATATCTTATATTTTATAACGACGTAATAGTTAAATAGATAATAGATCTAATAGGCCGAATACTTATTAGAATTTAACTACGAAATAATCTATAAAAAGGGAATAGAAAACGGTCGAGCTAATACCCTTAGTTAATAAAGTAACTATAATATAGGGGCACCTATAGCGAAAGGATAGCTCTTAGAAATTAACGAAAACGGGAACTATTAGTAATAATAGCTAAATATAATATTTAAAGTATAACTTAATAACTTAACTTACTAAAAGATCCTAAAATAAATAGAAGAATATAAAGTACTAAACGGATATAATATAGGATATTTAGAAGTTCTAATATATAAAAATAAAATCTAGATACTACTAGAATTATAAGATAAAGTTATATAAGATATATATAAATATTTAATATATAGATACTAAGGAATCTAAAGAATAATAAAACGGATTAAACGATAATATAACTTCCTATAGCTTAAAGAAGTAGTACGATAAGTTATTAAAGAATATAAACTTTATATATAAAGTAAAGCTAAACAATATAAACTATATAGAATTATAACCGCTACTAGTACTAGAAAAACTATAGGATTTAATAGCTTTTAACTATATTATAAAGCTATTACTATTAAAAGAACCTATAACTAACGTTAAGTACGATAGTATATTTATTATTACTAATAGACTAACGAAGTATAGATACTTCTTACTATATAAAGAAATAAGTAATATAAAAGAGCTAGTATATATATTCCTATAAATAATTATTAGTAATTACGGACTATTAAACGAGATTATCTTTAATAGAGGAAGTATATTTATAGCTAAGTTTTAGTAAGCTCTTATAGTATAATTAGGGACGAAATATAAGCTTAATATAGCTTATTACTTATAAATAGATAGATAAATAGAACGACTTAACTAAACGCTTAAATAATATTTACGATACTATATTAGCTATAAATAAAACAATTAAGTTAAATAGCTACTAATAGTATAACTAGCTTATAATAGCTTAGTTACGGAAATAACTAAGCTCTTACTAGTATACGCTAATTATAGATATAACCTAGAAGTATTTAAGGTTACTTAATAAGGACTATAAGTAGAACGAGCGATACTATAAGTAGATTAGCTATAAAAATTATATAAAGAAATATAATAAGAACTTTAATTTATTAAAGAATAAATATCTACTTACTATAATTAGAAAAGATTATAGGAACTAATCTTTTAAGAGGGAGATATAGTCTACCTTATATAACGAAATATTAAAATAAAACGACTAAGTAATAAATTAGATTTTAAGAAACTTAGACTATTTAAGGTTAAGAAAACTATTTTAAAAGTTAACTATAAACTTTCGCTACTAACGATAATACGGATATACCTAATATTTTATATCTTATTATTAGAACTAGTACTATAAAACGCTAAACTATAGGAAAAAATTAAAGTTAATAACGATTAAGAATATAAAGTAGAATAAATACTAAATATAAGAAAATAAGGTTAGTAATAAGAATACCTTATTAAGTAGAAGGGATATAGACTAAAGGAAAATACCTAGGAACTACTTAAGTACTTAACCTACTATAGCTTTCTACTTCGATAATTTTACTAGAAGGTTTAGGAGGGATTAAAGGACTAAGATCTATAAACTCCTCGCTAATACTAAATAAGGACTAATTCGCCTTATTAAGAACGCCTAACGATTATAAGTTATTTACTACCTAATACTTATATATATCGAGCGTAGGTAAAACGCTATCCTTAGTATCTACTTCTTAGATACTACGACGAAATAACTTAGAACTCTTTTCCTTTATATAATTCTAAATCTTTTAGATACGAGCTAAATAATTAACGGCGATAGATATTTACGACTAAAGATCTATAAGCTATACTTAAAGCTCTAATAAGGCTTCCCTAGCTTCCTCCTCTTTAAAATATAGCTTACGCTACTCCGCTAATAATTTAGTTACTAAAGAAATACGTTAGCTACTATATATAGAAAGAATTAAAAGACACCTATAAGAAGAAGCTACTAAAACACTATTATAATAGGGATAACTACTAGTAATATAATTATTATAGCGCGAAGAATTTTCGGCTATCTAATAATTCGTCTTCTTTGCCTTAAAGTATCGAGTATATAGTATATCGGTAGGATCTCTACTTAAGTCGATATATTCGGTAAGAGTAGCGCGCTTAAAGGCTTTTTAGGAACGATTTTTTAGTATATAACTAGATATACTATTAGTAGTATATCCTAAAAGGATAAAGAGATAAGGAACGATATACTTATATACGACGCGATAAGGGTATATTTATATACGGCGGCTAAGGTAGCTATAGTAGGTCTTATAGATAAGACTAAAAGGAGGGGAGATATTATATTATAACTATAGCTACTAGGCTACTAACGGTCGACTACGTTAAGTATATAACACGGTTTAACGGATAAATAGTTAGCATAACTATCTAATAGATATAAGATTAAGGGGATCGTAGAAATCTAAGTAATCTAGGATTAACGAGATTACTACGCTCTATACGATCTAATATTAGGGATTATAGCTAGGCCTATAATCTAAGGATAGTCTCTATAAGTATATATAGCTACCTACTTTTACTCCTTTAGATAGATAGCTCTCTAGCTTTTAATATAGATCTTTATTACGATTCTATCTTTAATTCTAATTACCTAGTTATAGTCTACGGTCTACGACCTCTAACTTATTACTAACGTAATATACTTATTATTGCTTAGACCACGCCCTATTATATCTACTAATATAAACCCCTTAATAGGTTTATCTCTTAAGAATAACACCGGTCGTTATAATAAGGTATAGCTAGACCTTTATAACTATAGGTCGGTATAGCTAAAAAAAAAAGCTTAACTAGCTATATATAAAGTTTATAGTATAAAGAGTTATTAGCTTATAGGTTATAAAGCTTAATAGTCTTTTAATAAGGGTTTATAATAAGATTAATATAAACCTTCTTTACTAAGCCTCCTTTAACCCGCTACTTAAATAAGAAGTAATAAACGCTTAACCGCTTATAATTAAAGTAGAAAAAGAAGATAAGTTTAAGGTTAAAGAGATATAGGCTACGCGCTAGAAAAAGGTTAGTAGGAGGAAACGCTAAAAGGTCCTTATTAAGTAGTATAGGTATCTTAACCTTATATAAGAACCTATATATAAGTTTATAAGAGCTATAGCCCTTAATAAGTTTAAGGCCTTATTTAAGCTAATAAATAAAAATAATAGACTAATAAACTACTAGTAGTAGCTTTAGCTAAGACTATAAAGTAAATAAATTAAAGTAAGTAGTTATAATAATATAAGCATAATAGTATAAGTAGAAATAAAAATAGCGTTTATTTTAAAGTAAAGCCCTTAAACTACCTAAACTTATTTCTTATCCTTACCCTTATTATTATTATTATTATTATTATTATTATTATTATCTTTTTCGTTCTCTTTTATTTTATTAGTAGCGGTAGCGCTCTCTAAGGCGCTTAGGTTACCCTCTAAGCCTACGAGCTAGTTAGCGGTAGCGGCGGCTCTAAGGGCGGTAGAGGTAAAGGGGAGGCGGCTAGTAGTAGCGGCGGGGGTAGCGGGGGGTATAGCAAGGGGGACCGCCGATAAGGCAATAAAGGTAGTATCCTTAATACTAAGGGAGTTAATAGTAAAAGTAAATGAGCTAAAAGAGAGGAACTTACTTAGGGATAAGGCCTTAGCGCTTAAGGGCATAGAGCTTATAATAAGCGGTAGCGCGGTAGTTATTACGGGACACCCTATAGTCGATAATCTAGGTACCTATAACGATATCTACTTCCCTTAGGGAAGTTACCCCTAACTCCTTAAGGCTCCCTACGGAAGAAGGAACTTAAAAGCTACCGGGTAAACTCTAGGAAATTACCCGGAAATCCTAGAAACGATAACCGAGTAAATTATATAGATATTTTACGGAGATTTCCCTTAGGGATATATTATATAGGGAATATACTACGATTTCCTAAGTAATAATAGCTCCTTAAGGATTATACCGATATCGTGCTCAAGGACGAACCGGTACAAGACGTCTTCGTCGCCTGTAGGCAACATATGTGGGATGAAGCGAAGGAGTGATTGCTTGGCTGCTGCTGCAACTGGACCGACCGTGCTGTTGTCAGACTCCCACGCAATCATGTCACCAATGTTCCCGATAGTTGCTTCGATCTTGGAGGAAAAGAGGACAACGCAGAACTCGCGGGTGGGAGCAACGGGAATTGGAAACGACTCCGGCCTATGTTCGAAAAGACGTTGGCGGAGCCAGAGAGAAGCGAACCCCGGCGGGACTTGGAATTTGTACAGCGATGCGCGGATGTGAGCTGCCTGAGCAAGAAGGCAAGACTAGGAGAAAAATCAGCATATGAAGTAAATAGCGGGATTGGTGTCGCCCGTACCTTCTGAGCCGGGCTGAGGCTACGCCACACGTTATCCTCTCCCTCTGTTCTTTGGAACACAAGCAAGCGCCGGCCTGCGATGTCTTTGGGACGCTCCAGCTTAGAGCCCTCATGTAGCACGGGGATACGATGATAAAGCAGACGAGAAGCCAAAATATCTGGCTCTGACTGCAGGAGCTCATACACCGCGGCCTGAAATTTGATCGAGGGAACTTGCTTGTGAAACGGGAAGCCATCGAAATCTGGCGTGTTGACATCGCAACGGCCTAAGCGTGCTACGACGTCCATCCCGCTGGACAACTTGAGGTGAAATCCCTTTTGCCACGCAGCCTCGTGTAAGCATGAGATGTGTGATTATGACGTTCGTGACCGCAACTTACATAGTTGTTGGCGCCGCTGGAAACGAACGGAATGTCAACCACCTGGGCACCGAGATTCTCCTCAATCTCCTGGAGGAGCAGGTTTACATCCCACTCGTTATGGAACGGACTGGTACCATTGCGGACCAAGGTGAGCAGATGCCGGCCATCAAAGTCGCTGCCATCAGGCATCTTGGGCCAATCATCCTGAAGCGACATGGCGAGGCAAGAGATTTGATAAAAAGTAGATTGGTGATGAAGAATGAAAATAGTATGTCGTGAGGGAAATGTTGAATTAACCTAAGCCGACAAGGTAGGTTACCTGAGTAGAAACTCAGGGACCCAAGAAGAAAAATTGGTCGGCCTTCGCCAATTTATAGAAAGATCCCAACCCAACAGTGCTGGCCCGTGCTCTCCTGTGTCACTCTGCGCTGTGCACACTTTTTGTCTACCGGTTAGCCAGAGCGGTTTGCGGTCAGTCGGGGCTTATAGAAAGATCCAACCAACCTCTGCTCTCCTGCAGTCACTCTGCAGTGGGCCGGCGCTTGCCTCCTTTGGGCGTCGACGTATGACTGTGGTTCTTGGTGCACTTGCCATGGACCTTATACTCGGGCTTTTCCTTGTCAAAGGCAAAGGCAACGGGAACAAACTTGTCCTGGTCCAGGGTGGTTTTCCATATCTAAATATGGAAATACCCTTTCCATGAATGGCATGGAATAGGTATGGATATGGATCCATGTATTTCCATACTATTGGCTGAACCACGCCACTAACAAGGGTTCCTACAGGGGGCTACCTACAGGGGCTGTGGGCCTGGAACCCCCGCTACAAATCCGCACATCCACAAAATCAGCCTCACCACCAACCCACAGCATACCATTATCACCTGGCGACAATGGATTCTGAGCCTGTGTTAGTTATGTTTCTTCGATTCTGAATCCATTGCTTCGGATTCATTCGCGTCTATATCTCCCAAGACAAGAAAAACCTGCTTTTGGATCATGAAAACATGCTCATCTGGCAGTAGTGTACCGGTAGTAAAAGGGTTAGGGGAAGCGGAGTTCAAAGGCAGGAACCGCCTCATATATTATCTTTATTGTCCCCAGAATGATCCCTACAGTACTTCTGTCACAGCCAGCTTTCGAAAACACCCTGAGGGCAAGAAAGTATGTCATCAACGTCGCAGAGAATTTATCTCCTCTTCAACCGTCCATCATCGAAGGATTTGATCAACTCTACGGGCAAGCGTGGGATCTGGGCCGTGTCTTCAAAGCTACCTTGACCAAGAAATTATCAATAAAGAGAATTCGCCCTATTACGCCGCTTCTTTGGTCCTTCATCCAAGCTATCGCACGACGTACATCCACTCAAATTAGAAGAAGTGGCATAAAACTGCTTTCAAACGGGTCAAAGACCTTTGCTACTCTTACCGAAATACAAACGACGGTACAATTTCGTATCATGTACTGGACGAAGAAGAAGACAATGGCCTTGATGCATTTGATCGTATTTCAAGAAATCTGCAGAATTGTGCTCGACCTACAAGTCAAGACGAGTATGAAGATTACATCTCAGGTGATCCATATGAGATTGCGCCAACAACTGCTTTATCATGGTGGCTTCAAGAGCGACATAGGAACCGACGGCCGAAGTTATCACGAATGGCAATAGACATCCTATCAATGCCAGCGATGAGCGACGAGCCGGAACAGGTGTTTTCAGGGGCTCGTCGTACGATCTCCTGGGAAAGGGCACAATTGGATGCGGACCAAATTGAAAAGGGAGAATTGGTTGAAGCATTGGGTGAAGAACAATGTCTTGAAGAGGAAGGGGCGGTGGCGTGACCGTGGCGTGAGAATTCGTGCAAATTCCCGTCTGATTTCCCTCCTCGTCTTGGAACAAAACACGTAAGATTTGCCTACCCTCTCTTTTGGACATTATCATTGAGCTCAATCAATTACTTCGTATTTTTAATTCACCATATGGTGTGAATTTGTCCATCTTGTCGAAGGTGTCTTCAGTGACATTTTGTCGTCGTGCACGGACCAAGTATGGAAAGGTGTATTGCAATACTTGCAATAAATGTGGGGCCGATACCGATTATCGATTGCAGGCCTTTCCATGTATGGAAAACCACCCTGTCCTGGTCGTGAGTCTCGATATCGTTGCTAGGAACGACAACGCTCGCGTCGCCAATCTTCATTTCGGACCAGTTGTTTCCAGCGAGGGTGTCAACGCCAAACAATCCTTCGCATCCATTGGTGGCAAGAATGGAGAGAAATTCTTGCACGAATGCGGCCGAGAGGGTGGGATGGTCGGCCCTAATAGGGTGTCAATTAATTAGACCATGCAGCGAGAGTATACCCAAGACAGATTGCTCACATAGCAGGGATGGCAGTGAACTCCATGGGAAGCACCTTGCCACCGGAGGTCATCCACGTCGTCGGAACGACCTTGTTTCCAAAGGAGGCGATGTCCTTCATGGCCTGGTCGTCCATGAGATGTGCGGTGCCTTCAACCTTGACAACCGCCTCATTGGCAGCGACGGTGTGATGGCGGTGCTGGAGGTAAAGGCAGAAGGCGTGGTGAGTGGCATGCTTGAGGAAGACGTCGCGAATCGGCCCATTGATAACATCATCAACGGACAGAGCCTATGTTGTTCGAACAGTCAGCTTCATGGATGAGGTGGATGTAATGGCTGTGACTACCTGACGGGACATGTCCGCCTCCCCCAGCGAAGGGAGATTGTTGTAGCAAACGTGGTCTACAATGGCCGCCATATCGAGAGGTGATGAGCTGGGTTGCCTGAGAAGGACTGGTTTGTCGCAAGAGAATGGAGACGTCTCTCCTGTGCTCTTCGCCTTGCCTTTATACGTCAGGATCCAGCACCGCCGAGAACAAGTAGACTGCTAGAAATCACAGTTCTGGATTCTGCAATACCGAGTTGCTCCGTTGCAACACGGGGCCAGATTATAAGGCTCAATCACCAACAATTCCACTGTTATCACCCGATTCGTTCACCTGAACCGACTACTTGCATCACGGTCGCGTCGACGGCACGCGGCTGAAGTTGGACAGCGGTTCCGTGCCGGCCTGAATCGCCACGAGTAGCCTTGGTTTGGCATCGTATTCTTCGCTAGCCACCCGAACCTTTTGCGGTCCGCGGAGTCGTTCACGCAAGCAGAGCCTCAGGCTTACGGTGTCATTGTTTTCAAGGGCGTTCGTGAGTCACCCTACCGGCTGTAGCTATGCAGGGATGCCCCGCCATGTATTGTCGTGTCCTGGAAGCAAACACGGCGGTTAAGGTCGGTCCTGCTGGTTCCCAGGCAATCTCGTCGACGACTTGGCCATCTACCCGGTCGTGACCACTGCGCCGCGCTGGGGCGGCACAGCCGTTCACCTTGTTGGCCAATGTGCTGAGCCGCCCATATCAACCAAGTCTGCGAGTTCTTGTGCTCAGTTGCGGACCGCAAAGCCCAGCCCTGGTCCAAGCAGAGCCTCATGTTTGCGAAACCACTCACCGAAGACATGTGGCCCTGACTAACGAGCAGACAGCTCTGCCCAACGAGCAAGAAAGGAGTGGTGGGGCTATGGCGTATGCACCTAAAGAGGAAAGATGTATAGGAAAGGAGTTTGTATCTAGTATATTAACTAGCTTGGGCCTTTTACATTTTGGGCCCAATTATCTATACACCTCCTTTTATTAACTGTACACCAAAAAGTGGATCAACTGTGGCTGGGTCAGGCGCAGTGCCGATGCCGCTAATTTTGGTGCGCCCATTCCCGGCCGGCCAGCTGGCCAGTTCGTGATGCTTGCGTAACAACATCCTGTAACCGTAACTATCAGCAATACCATCAAAACTGAAGCTATTCGCACCGCGTTTCTGCCCTTAGAGCCCGAATCATGGAGTCGCTTACGAAGACACTATTCCCGACCTTCCAGGCCGCGATGGAAGCCGCCGATACCGTTGCTGAGGCTGAGGGCTACGCCCTACACATTCGAACATCGAAGCGGGATAACGCTGGCCAACGCAAGTCTGCACTTGTTCGTTGTATCAAGGCCGGCCCTACGAAAATCGGAAGGATAAAGCTGCTCATATCTCTCGTCGTCGCCTCAATACAGCAACCCAGAAAACAGACTGTGAATTTCGCCTCTCGTTGAAGGAAAAACGCGGTTACTGGACTATCTCTTATCTTCACGATGTTCACAATCATCGCCTTGTTGATGACCCGATGGTCTTTCCGAAGTACCGGGCGCTTGTTATCCAGAAGTATCGCGACGACATTATCCGGAAGTTTAATAACAATACCCGGCCGACCGATATTGCTGGCGAGCTTCGTGACCTGGTTCACGACGATCCTCGTTTAGCCGGTATCACGGCTCAAGACGTGAGTAACGCCTTGGCTAGGCACCGTCAGGAAGAACTAGCTGGCCGTACGCCTCTTCAGTTTCTCTACGACCGGCTAGATAAGTCCGACTTCTTTCATCGAGATAGTCGTGATCCCCAGGGCCGGCTAACTGGGCTATTTCTCGCGCCTCGTGCTACCTTCCATCGATGGCGTCAGCATCACGATGTCCTCGTCCTCGACTGTACCTACAAGACGAACCGATTCAATATGCCGTTATTGAATATCTGCGCGGCCACTCGAGATAACAAAACGTTCTCTATTGCCTCTATCTTCTTGAACGGCGAGACCGAGTCCCATTACTATTGGGCTATCTCGTTGCTGCTAGTCCTTTGCGAGAAGGAGTCGATCCCATTTCAAGGGTCACTGTCACGGACCGAGATACTGCGTTGCTTAAGGCGTTAGATAGCTTTCGCGAGCTTCAAAACAGTACTAACCTTCTCTGCACGTGGCATATTAACCAGAATGTCGTTGCGAAATGCAAGCAATTTTTCCCTAAGGCATCAAAAATCGGCAATCGAGTCGTACGGGCCCCGGCATTCCAAGCGTTTCTACAAGAGTGGAACGAGATCGTCAAGTCACAAGATGTGAATAGCTTCAACGAACGTTTACGCCAATTTGAGACACCAGGCCGCCACCCGCTTGCAGCTATACAATACTGTTGCAATACGTGGCTAACGCCTTGGAAGGAGAAGTTTGTATCTTGTTTCGTTAATCAATATCGCCACTTCGGGCGTACAACGACCTCGATCGTCGAGGGACTTCACTCTCATATGAAGAAGTTCCTTTGGTCCTGTACGGGCGATTTGACGACCGTTTTCCAACGATTCGAACGCTTCTGGGGCCATCAGGCTGCTCAGATCACAGCGATAGAGAATCGAAACCTCCACAAGATATCAACGTTCTCCTACAGGCGCCGTATATGCCGATCCGCGAGCGAGTATCGTCATATGCGTTAAAGCTACTAATAGATGAGCATCGCAAGATCCTCTAGACCCCGAAGTCAACGGGCCAAACCGCCGCCAGGTCAATGTCCTTGTAATTGGGCTACTAGTCGAGGGCTACCGTGCTGCCATCGAATCTTCGAGTCTATCAACACCAATACCTCCCTTACACTCGACGACTTCGACCCATTTTGGTATATTCCGATCGATACAAGCGCTCAGGGCACAAGCCCTACTCGGGCACCATACGAGCCACAAGTTATCAGGGCTAAGGGCCGCCCCAGGGCTCACTCAACCTCGAAGAGTCACGGCGGTCAAGATCAACGCGGCGGGATCCGTCACATCACGAGATCGCTGAACGGCATGAGCGGGCTGAGGCTATACGACTGCCTCCTCCTCAACGGCACCAGCGGCGATGACGGGTACGGTAACGGCCGCGATGACTTCAACGGAACGAGGGCTGCGGCACATCGAGGAAAACGGCGATACGTACGAGGCAGGCACACGGATGCAACGGGCGTATCAACAAGCCGGGCGTCAAACGCCAGTCTCTGATGATGACGATCAGCCGGTACGGCGGGAGACCCAAGACTGCATCTTCGTCGCCGGCCTCACGGACGATGCCGCCCTTGAGGATGTATGGGATCAATTGGAATCACAGTTAGATGAAGCGGATCAGGCACGTAGTGCACTCGAAGAAGGAGGCCTGTTGTAAACACCAAAGAATAGTCTCATCAGCATAGAAAGCGCAGTACGAATAGCTTCAATTTTGGGTGCCTTATCGTTGAAGGAGAACTGTTACTACCTGGCTCTACTTATCGTAGAGAATGTGTGCATACAAATTGGCGGTATCGGCCCTCTTCGGCCGTCAGCCACAGTTAATCCACTTTTTGGGTGTACAGTTAATGAAAGTGGGTGGATAGATAACTTGGGCCTACATTTTATGACTTTTATCAGCCTAACTAAGAATAGTTCTCTATTTAGGCGTGTAGATGAGGACTACAGTTCGCCTACGGCCTAGAGCTAGCTGTCACAATATTTTATTGAAAATACTGGAACAATGAAGAATTAGGACTTGTAGGTACTCTCGACTCCGGGCGCCATCGGTGCCCCACTGCTTGCTTGCTCGTTATGCAGAGCGTGCGCTCGTAGGCAGAGCTGTGTGCTTGTTAGTCGGGGCATATCGATACGTAATTGCAAAAAGGGTGCGGTGAGAAGGCATGGGGGAACTGCAGTTGGTGAAAGGATTTTCCCATTAACGCTTAAATGGCCCAGCTTGATCCAGAGATCCCGAGAAGTTGTCCCGGTGTGAGTCATGCCACCAACCAACAGCCACAGTCTCCCGATGCCATGATCACTGAGCCAATCATGCATGCATTGAGCGTTGCTGATCCCCGGTATGAGTACCGTGGCGCAGACGAGTTTCTCATGACCCAGTCGAAGATCATCTGTTATGTGGAGACAGCTGGGACAGTGTCTGCAACTGTTTACACGACAGTACTACCGGCCGGCTGGGTCATTTTTCGATATCGCGCCGATCACATATCGGGCATGGTATCGGGCTGATGAGCGAGCGCGGATGCTTGCAAGAGCCAGATCCTGTCTGTCGTGGCCTTCACTCAGCTCCATAACTCCTTTACACGGGCGGAGGGAGGGAAGTACATACCGCTCTCGATGTGAAGCAAACAGTGGCTGAGACATGAACAGGCCATCAAACCAGGCATTCACGCTGAGGAAAGAAATTACACGCAGAGATACCCTAAGCAAAAGATAAAAGAGCGAGCCGGATATTCACGTTGCACGGTGGAGAAAAAGGGGGTGATGATGTCCCGGCTTGGTATCCCGGCCTGGTGTCCAGGCCACGGAGACGTTGGGGACACTTGCCGCGACTCGGCAGGTCCGTCTCGTGCAGAGAGGACAAGATATTGAGCATGACAGATATATCGTCATGATGTGGCTGTTGAAAATGCGACCAAATCCTAGCTCCTACAAAGTGTCGTTTGCCGCATCCCAGCAACATGTATCCGTAAAGGTGTCTTGCAGCCCTTCAAACTTCAATAGTGACGCGGCCGATTCCCCGACTCACACAGGCTAGCATGGAAGTATACTTCTCTTCCGGTGTCAAAGCTGTGCCCCGATGTTGGACACGTCCTTCTTTGAGAGTGACCTTGCACGTGCCGCAGTTTCCAACCTCGCAGCTTGAGGGAACATCCAAGTTCTTGCGCCTCAGCGCCTCTAGCAAACTTTCTTCTTCTCCGACCGTAACCGTCTGCTCCGCTCTGTTGGCCACAATGGCTTCGAAGGGATCGCCCGAGATGTCGGCGGCAAAAGCCTCGTAGTGAACTTCGGTTGGCGGTATCCCGCAAGCCTCAACAGCACTCCTGGCCGCTTCCATCATCCGATTGGGGCCACAGACGTAGAGCTGGCTGTTCCAAGTGAGGGTCTGGACGATCTGCTCGATGTTCATCCTCTGGCCTTCGGACTTGTCGTAGAAGACGATGTTTTCTTTGAAGGACTCGAGTCGGTCTCGGAAGGGGATATCTTCGGCAGACCGTACGGCATAGTGCAAGATATAGCTGAAGTTTATGGAATGCATGCCCTTAATCATAGCCAGAAAAGCCGTCAAGCCAATACCGCCAGCGATGAAGCAATGGTGGCTCGCAGAGCTCGCAGCGTCCACGTCTGTAGTGATCCTCCCCACCTGGAGGATGTCGCCAACCTTGGCAGACTCGTGAAGGTATCTTGAGCCCCCCCGGCTGTTGTCTTCGAGTGCTACGCCGAGCTCCATCTTGTTGGACAGATTGAAAATGCTATCTCCGCCGGCAACGACAGAGTATGACCTGATGAGACCGTTGGGCAGCTTGATCCTCGCATGGGCGCCGGGGAGCTTTTTCTGTGCGTCTTCTTCGGGTGTGGTGTGCTCCAACACTATCGAAACAACTCTGGAAGTTTGCATTCTTCGGCTGATGATTCTCCAGTCCTTCCAAACGTCCTGCTTGACTGGTTTTGATTTTTTGATAGCAGCCGCCACCCTCTTCCGAAACTGTCCACGACTCTCCTCTCCAAGGGCATCCAGCTCTGCCAGTTTTCTGTTCATGTCCAGATTCTCCTTGTCTCGATGTAGGTATTCTTGAACGCGTTCAACAGTCCACTCGGGCCACTTCCTCTCGGTCAATCGAATCTCATCCCCGGGGCTGACCTCGCCGGGGCGCAGCACTCGATAGTACCAACCGGTGCGGCTGGTCTGATGGGTGATAGGGGCAAAGTTTTTGAGGGAAAAGCGGTGATTCAGCTTGAAGCAGGGCTGGCGAGGCAGCGACACCTGGAGGAGAACCTGACTGCCTACGGATATGACATCGCCGATGCATACGTTGCGCTCATTCATGTGCGCGGTGACAAAGTTCTCGCCGAAGCCCCCTGGAACGAACTTTTCGGCGCGCTCCGGGTACGAATGCCGCCAGCCGGGGTAGTGTGAAGAGCAGTCTACGCGGGAAATGTAAATGTATCGAGGGACGAGAAGCAATAGGAGATGACTAGGCAGACTCACAGCCAAGGACAGCCTTGTCGGGGCCCCCATGGAAGGTCAGGTCGTGTTCATCTCCCTCAAGCCCAAGCTTGCCGAGTTTGATTGGCCCCGAGCATAGCTTCTTGTCGATTCCGGATTGAATCTTTAAGCCCGGCATATTTTTCATTTTTGAGGTACGGATTTCCAAGAGAGTATCCGCTTCGAAAGCTCGCGTCAAATCAAGCGGCGGGGAATATGGCGCCATTACGAGTGCGGTAGGAAGCGCAACAGGGCAGATGTCCGTCCTCAAGAGCTCTAGGCTTGAATTACCAGGGGTGAAGTCAGATTCCCGATGGGCTCAGTCAGGTGAGGGGAAGTTTCGGAACGAGATTGGCTGAGTAATAAGAACTCGGACGCCGCAGTTTCGCGGAGCGGTCCGAATCTTTGGTCCCGGGAGCTCCGTGATTACTGCAGAATGCAGAGCCGGGCAGGCTGACGGCGGCACACTAAGCCGATTATGAACACACAGTCGTCATCAATCTGGAAGAGTAGTCAAGTTTGCTGGTTGACGAACTGGAGACGCTTGCGAGTTGGTAGTGCTGATCTGAATGCTTGGACGCTCGGAATCGCCGAGGCGAGTTGAGGTTCATCCAGTTCCGTGGTTGAAGGCAGCTGAAGCTCGATTTGTTTACGCAGGAGGCTCGCGGCATTAATGATAAATCCATGCAAGCTCAATTCGCTGGGCGGAAATGGGCAACTTGTATCTGTCCATGAGTCAAGGCCAGCTTGACGACAGTGTCGGACCGAATGGCGAGAAAGGAAAACGGCGCGATTCTACGCCAACAGTATTTCAGAGATGGCGAGAAATGTAAAGCAATCAACCCGTCCTCACCCACGACTCGACTTTGAACATCCGCACCAGGGTGAGGACTGCGACGGACGTGGCGCCGGCATCGAAGATAGGGCGGAGATGGATGAAGGAGAAACGGGGACAACGTGTACAAGAGAGCCTATCATGAAGCGGCCCGGGGCTCGACAGACAGAAGCTGGGAAGAATATGACCGTGAGTATGAAGAGAAGCAGGCTGCAAGGCAGGCGAATGCACATTGAGGGAGGATTGGTCGACGAGGTGGACGGGTTGACGGAGGACGACGCCGATTCTCCAATATGCGGTGCTATGGCCGCTGGTACCTCGTCTCTCAGCCTTATTAGATGTACCGTTCCTGTCACCTGTCTGTGCCACTCTACTTTGTACATACAGATAAGATATGGTCCGCTGGTACGTGTGTGCCATCAGCTGCATGGCGTAAAGCGCGGTGGGGTTCAGGGTCCGAAACATCGTCACCGCCTCTCTCCTCTGTCTGTGCCTTCAGGTTATTCCGGGCCTCGCGTTCCCTTGATCCTCTCGCCTGGCCTTGGCGAGCGACAGTCGAGCCTCGCCACCCACCATCCTCCCTCGTGCAATTGACTCCCCTAACCCACCTCGTCCTGCTAGGCACTGCTAGGCAGCAGACTTTGTTGAACGTGACGATATCGATTTTTCCCCTTAATTCTCGCATCCCGCTCGTCGCCCTTCGCTCGACGCGCGAGTCACGCCGTCAATCCACTTTGTCCCCGTTTCTCCTGCACCCATCCACGCCATAGAAATCTCTTTGGCCTCGAATCGTCGCCCATCTCCTGCTTCTGCACCCCGGCTCGCCGAGTACGCACAAGCACGCGCACAAGGCCATGATGGCTTCGACAGTCAACCATCGCTCCAGCGGGTCCGAAGACTATGGCGTCTACGACGATGCCAAAACATACTACGCCTCCGACGAGCGCCATACTCGCCGCTTTGGTCTTCGCACCCGGACATACTCGCAAGTAGGCGCCCTTCAGCTCTCTTGCTGCACCCGCCTTCCCCTTGCTCACCTGGCCCGCGGCGGCAGAACAACCTGCACAAGCAGTTCGAGAGAATTGAGTCTCATGGGCCCTTCCGGCGAGGAAGCCACGGTATGCTCCGCTACTATCCCAGCAACAGGCAGCCGTGCTGAATGACATAACCCCAGACGAGACGACCATCCTGCACGGCCGGAGATTCCTCATCCAAGTCGATGCCACCCTCGAGAGTCTCCGAGCTCAGGAAGATACCGATGACAACATGCAAATCACAATCGAGGACAACGGCCCCAAGGTCCTCGCTCTGCGCACCGCCGCCTCGGCCGGCCACAACCGCTTCGACGTCCGAGGCACCTACATGCTCTCCAACCTCCTCCAGGAGTTGACCCTGGCCAAAGAGTACGGGCGCAAGCAGATCATCTTGGACGAGGGCCGCTTAAACGAGAACCCCGTCGACCGTCTCTCCCGACTCATCCGTGACCACTTCTGGGAGGGCTTGACCCGACGCATCGACGAGTCCACCATTGAGATTGCCGCCCGCGACCCCAAGGACTGGACCGACGATCCCAGACCCCGCATCTACGTCCCCGTCGGTGCTCCGGAGCAGTACGAATACTACAAAAGGGTCGCCGAGGCGAGGCCCGACATTCGTCTTGATGTTCAGCTTCTGCCGGGTACCATCACCCCCGAGCTGATACGGGACATGAACGACAAGCCGGGCTTGCTGGCCGTGGCCGTCGAAGAGGAGCGGGATGCCGACGGATCCACGTCGCTCAGGGGCTTGCCATTTGTCGTCCCGGGCGGCCGGTTCAACGAGCTGTACGGCTGGGACAGCTACATGGAGTCCCTGGGACTCTTGGTCAACGACAGGGTCGACCTGGCCAAGTCCATGGTACTCAATTTCTGCTTCTGCATCGAGCACTATGGTAAGATCCTCAACGCCACCCGGTCCTACTATCTCGGCCGCTCGCAGCCACCCTTCCTGACCGACATGGCTCTCCGGGTGTACGAAAAGATCAAGCACGAGCCGGATGCCAAGGACTTTCTCAGGCGGTCGATTCTCGCCGCCATCAAGGAGTACCACAGCGTCTGGATGAGCGAGCCTAGGCTGGACCCGATTACCGGCATGTCCAGGTATCGCCCCGAAGGCTTGGGGGTGCCGCCGGAGACGGAGGCCGGACACTTTGTGCACATTCTTGAGCCATACATCAAGAAGCACAACATGGAGTTTGAGGAATTTGTGCGGGCCTACAACCACGGAGAGGTCAAGGAGCCGCAGCTGGACGAGTACTTTATGCACGACCGGGCGGTTCGGGAGTCGGGCCACGACACGACGTATCGGTTCGAGGGTGTCTGTGCCAACCTCGCCACCATCGACCTGAACTCGCTGCTGTTCAAATACGAGACCGACATTGCTCGCACAATCCGGGCCGTGTTCAACGACAAGCTCGTCATTCCCGCCGAGTTTTGCTCCGGGACTCCGTACCGGCCGGGCGAGATGCTCTCCTCGGCAGCTTGGGACCGGCGGGCCAAGCGGCGGAAGCTGACGGTCGACAAGCTCATGTGGAGCGAGGCCGAGGGCATGTTCTTCGACTACGATACGGTCAAGCAGGAACGCTGCTCGTACGAGAGTTCGACGACGTTCTGGGCACTGTGGGCCGGCATCGCCACACCCAAGCAGGCGGCCGAGATGGTCAAGAAGGGGCTGCCCAAGTTTGAGGCATTTGGCGGGCTCCTGGCTGGAACGGAGAAGTCGCGGGGCGAGATTGGCCTGGAACGGCCGAACCGGCAGTGGGATTTCCCCTATGGCTGGGCGCCCCAGCAGATGCTCGCGTGGACAGGACTGCTACGCTACAGCTTCACCGAGGAGGCGGAGCGGCTGGCGTACAAGTGGCTGTTTATGATTACAAAGGCGTTTGTCGACTTCAACGGCGTCGTGGTGGAAAAGTATGACGTGACGCGTCCAGTCGACCCTCACCGAGTCGATGCCGAGTACGGGAACCAGGGCCTGGACTTTAAAGGCGTGGCCAAGGAAGGGTGAGTGATGCAAGCCCGGCGAGGACATCAGAATGTCGACGTGAGCGAGATCTCGGACGCATCCGCTGACATTGGACGGGTGTATAGGTTCGGCTGGGTCAACTCGAGCTACGTATATGGGCTGGAAATCGTCAACGCGCACATGCGGCGAGCCCTGGGGACGCTGACGCCGTACCCGACGTTTGTCAACGCGATTGAGCAGATTAACCAGAAGTCGCTGGCGGAGCTGTCGCTGGGTTGAGCTGGGCGCAGCTGGGCAGGGGCAGACGGAGGAGGGAATAGAGGGCATGGGCAAGGGCCGAGACAAGAATGGACAGGACGAGAGGGCACTACGGCGTTGGGGCTTGAAACGACCGGCTCAGGTCTTTAGAGGGCTTGTGCGGATTCGGGACGAGAAGGAAGGTCATGGTTCACGGCATCTCATGGATATTGCTAGACGGGTCATCAACATTGGCATCTTGGCGGGTTGGCCGGGGACTCTTTGCTCTTTACCACTTGCCATGTCAAGTCACGGACTGGCCTGTCATGTCCGCGAGGGAAGGGGGATGCAAAGAAGCCATAGAGAGATGATGTCGGAAATCGAAATGGAACACGGGCATCTGGTGACGTTGGCTCCACGTGTCGTGTCGGTGAGGGAGTCTGGGTTGGATGTCTGGGTTGGATATCGCCTCACGATGCACTCAGCTGAAGTGTGAGGCTGCTGGGTCGCGTGACCGTCGGCTCTGGCATTTTCACATGCCAAAGGGGAGGGAGGCTCCGGGGCAGCGGAGCCCGGCCGTGCGTTTCCTGCCAAGGTCGGCAAGTAAGTGACGGTACTGTACTTAGTGCATGCTAATACTCGGTACACTCGGCTGGAGGGATGAGCCTCTTTCTGTCGTCAAGGCTCGTCGAATCCATGTTGACCCCATACGGCGGAGCAGTAAAGGTGAAGAATCCGGTGCCAAACAGATGTGCGAGGCAGCTACTCGTTTGGCCATACGTCTCGGTACTTCCGAGGCCCCTCAGCTTGGTTCCGGTACAGGAGCAGCGGCGCCTCGGCCCCTCCAGCTGGGCGGCCGCCTTGCCGCTACCAAGGACTATTTCGTAGTGTGTACATACACATGTGCAAGTTCCCCAGACGGTCCGCCATCTCCATCCCGCCGGGCAGGCGTGGGAGGAGGAGGAGCAAAGGAGGAGAGATGGCCTCGAGCCAGCATGAAACCAGTTCCTCTCCGCAACGACTCGGCTACCCGTTGCACGCACTCGACCGGTTGCAGGCTTTGCTCTCGGGTACTCCACGAGGGGATGGGAGAAGCTCGTTTCCTACCTGGGGCTAGACGGTTGGCACATGCATGCACCCCGGGATCGTCCGGGAGAGGGCGCGGCAACCCGGCCGATTCCCGACCGAGGTGTAAGTCGAGCGAGCTGCCATGCCCAAGGTTTGCTCCGTTGATTCGTGACAATTTCTCTCCCTTTCTCTCTCTCTCTCTTCCCCCTCTCCCCCTCCCCCTCCACCTGTCTCCCTCTTCCGCACTTTTCTTCTTCTTCTTCTTTTCCTCCCTTTCGCCCTTGCCGCCCGTCCAACCCCTCCCGCCCCGGCCCCCACTCTCGGCTCTCCCTTCGCCAGCCGCCCGCCCACCCAGGCTCGTGCCGCGGCTCACCAGCAATCGACTCCCAACTCGTTTCAAGCAGAGTCTCTCTCTCGCGCTCTCTCTAACCACAGGCCGGCCCTCGGTCAATCCACCGGCGAGAGCGTAATAAACCGGACCCTCATCCTCTCACACCATGGCGGCCAACAACATGCTCAGCGCGGCCGTCAGCCCGGAGAGCGAAGACGCCCTCTTCGCCCAGGAGGTGGACCAGGTCAAGGCCTGGTGGCGCGACTCGCGCTGGAAGCACACCAAGCGGCCCTTTACCGCCGAGCAGATTGTCTCCAAGCGCGGCAGCCTCAAGATCGAGTACGCGAGCAACGCCCAGGCCAAGAAGCTGTGGCGCATCCTCGAGCACCGCTTCCAGGTACCCTTTTCTCTTCCTCTCTGCGTTCCTCTCTGCCCCTCGCCGTGGCAGACAGAGGGCGGGGGAAGGGCGTGGCTAACGCGGCCGGGCTGCAGAGCAAGGACGCCAGCTACACGTACGGCTGCCTGGAGCCTACCATGGTGACGCAGATGGCAAAGTATCTCGACACCGTCTACGTCTCGGGCTGGCAGTCGTCGTCGACGGCGTCGGCGTCGGATGAGCCGGGGCCCGATCTGGCCGACTATCCCTATGTGCGTACAGCCCCCTTTGCTTGAGGTGTTTGATGGCGATGCCTGAGGGAGGCCTTGATGCCCATGCTCGAGGCCTGGGTGCTGATGCTCGGGAATGGGCATAGACAACCGTCCCCAACAAGGTCGGCCACCTCTTCATGGCCCAGCTCTTCCACGACCGCAAGCAGCGCCAGGAGCGCCTCTCCACGCCCCCCGGCCAACGCGGCCCGGCCACCGACTACCTGCGGCCCATCATCGCCGACGCCGACACGGGCCACGGCGGGCTCACGGCCGTCATGAAGCTCACCAAGCTCTTTGTCGAAAAGGGCGCCGCCGGCATCCACATCGAGGACCAGGCCCCCGGCACCAAGAAGTGCGGCCACATGGCCGGCAAGGTCCTGGTGCCCATTAGCGAGCACATCAGCCGCCTCGTTGCCATCCGCGCCCAGGCCGACATCATGGGTGCGTTGACGTTCCGTCCACGCCCCTTCCCCCTCGTTTGCATCCTCTGTCCCATTCCAGCATCCGGCGGAGCATGGCGCTGACCTGGCCGCGCGTGCTTGAAACACAGGCTCCGACCTCGTCGCCGTCGCCCGCACCGACGCCGAGGCCGCCACCCTCATCACCACCACCATCGACCCGCGCGACCACGCCTTCATCCTCGGCTGCACCAACCGCGACCTCGCCCACCGCCCCGCCCTCAACGACCTCATGACGGCCGCCGAGCAGGCCGGCAAGACGGGCGCCGACCTGGAGCGCGTCGAGGACGACTGGCTCGCCGCCGCCCGCCTCATGCGCTTCGACGACGCCGTCGCCGCCGCCATCGACGCCGGCGCCTACCGCGACAAGGACCGCCTCAAGGCCGCCTACCGCCAAAAGGCCGCCCGCAAGAGCAACGCCGAGGCCCGCGCCATTGCCAGGGAGGTGCTCGGCGGCCACGACGTCTACTTTGACTGGGACGCCCCGCGCACCCGCGAGGGCTTCTATCGCCTCAAGGGGGGCTGTGACTGTGCCATCAACAGGGCCATTGCCTACGGCCCCTACTGCGACGCCGTCTGGATGGAGAGCAAGCTGCCCGACCACAGGCAGGCCAAGGAGTTTGCCGACGGCGTCCACGCCGCTCTTCCCCACCAAAAGTACGTCCACCGTCCTCCCTCCCTACCGCCCGCCGCCTTCGGCCGTCCCTGACACGCCGAGCGTGCTGACACCCTTGCACAGGCTCGCCTACAACCTCTCTCCCTCCTTCAACTGGAAGACGGCCATGCCGCGCGACGAGCAGGAGACGTACATCCGCCGCCTCGCCGCCCTCGGCTACTGCTGGCAGTTCATCACCCTCGCCGGCCTGCACACCACGGCCCTCATCAGCGACCGCTTCGCCCGCGCCTACAGCCAGCAGGGCATGCGCGCCTACGGCGAGCTCGTCCAGGAGCCCGAGATGGAGCTCGGCGTCGACGTCGTCAAGCACCAGAAGTGGAGCGGCGCCAACTACGTCGACGAGCTCCAGAAGATGATTACAGGCGGCGTCAGCTCCACCGCCGCCATGGGCAAGGGCGTCACCGAGGATCAGTTCCACTAGCCTAGCAATCCCCAGTACGTCATGCAGACGAGTGCTTCCTGGCCCCGGCTCGCGCTCGGACAGGGCGGGGACAAGGGACGGGCAAAGTTTGGATACATGTCACCGCTTCCCGCTATCAAGTCCCATCATGTCTGCTCTTGCACGAAAATGATCAAGTCTTGGCTGTTACCCTCTCACCCTCGCTCCGTTCTCCGACGTCAAGTTTCAAGTTGCTTGTCCTCGAGGCTTCTTCCATGTTCAACCCCATTCTGCTGTCTGTCTCCTCGCTACACGCTGCAGTGACTGGCGCCGCCGCCCCTTCTATTAGATGACAACCCTGGCGCCCTTCCTCAGATGTTGCATCGCGCTTCCAAATGCACCGCTCAATCAAAGCCAACCAACTCCCTCGAGCCAAGTAGCAATCTATGCCACGCATTGTAGGGCCTCGCATGTCTGGTCATCGTGACATCATCATCGGCGACCTAGCCGCCACTGCCACAGGTGGCCAGGTCCCAGCATTTCCTCCGCCCACCCTCATCTGATGCTTGGAGTGGTTTTAATCCGCTCTTGGTTGTGTCTCGTCAACGCCGACGAGGGCGTGGCCGCCTGGACACAACGATAAGGATGCCATCACCCCGACAAGCCGGGCACAGCTCGCTCGTTTGCCGTTCTCAGTCCGCTTCCGCAAGCTGCATGATTAACTTGGCCGCCATATCGAGGAATGGAAACGGGCTTGTCACTTCCTTTTCTTCGAGGAGCATGCCGTCAGGCGTCTCATACCCGGAGCACTTGAAATCCACCAGGTAGACCCCTTGCTCCATTTCGTAGATCTGGATGTCGAGATGTAGTGCGACAAAGGCCTTTTTGACCGGATCCTTGGGTGAAAAGACGTGATAGCTTTCCGGTGTGCCGGAAAAGCCGCCCTGCGTGGGCTGCGGCGTGCTTTTTGTCTTGCGCTTGATGGCTAAGGAAAACAACAGTCAGCGCATGTTCAAAGACCGGGAGGGGAAGGGAGATACATACTGGCAGATTCCCACCGGACCTTGATGTGCCAGGGGTCGGCGGGTAATCTGTACCTCTTGGCCGGATCCAGGTCAGCATTCGCATCGTGCTGCGGAGGAGCTCCGTCGTAGTCGTCGGCGAAGCTGCCATCGCCGCTGGGCGCCTCGCTTCCCTTGCGGTGGATCCGGACGTAGTCTTCATCCGGTATGTAGGTGGCCCCCAACTTGTAAAGCGCCTTGTGGATGCAGAGCAGCGCCTCCCAGGGCGCGTTTCGGGACCGTATGCCAAACTGCCAACGCACAGGCCTGGGCTTCTTGGGTGGGTTCATTGGCGTCATGCCCTGAGGGCGTTTTGCGGCCTCGTCGATTCGTAACTGGGAACGTGTGTGCGGCTTGAGGCGGCGTGCTGCCTCCTCCTTTTCCGCGTCGGTCCTGGACGACGATGGCTCCTCGTGGGGGGCGGATGTCGACGCTTCGTCATGCTCCCCACCAGCCTTCTTCCGTTCCATAAAGTCCTTGTGGTAGGCAGGGAGACTGCTGGGCAAGATGCCGACTTTGCTCACATATGGGCGGGACGAGATGCCGCTCTGCGACAGGCCCGATCGAGCAGACGACATGCTCATCATGGGGCTCGAAGCCTCCTCCGATTCCGGATTTAAACCGTCGGGGTTTTCTGAGCCAAGGGTGAGCATTCGCACATGATGGTTGTGGGGTGTTGGGACTCACGATTGACTTGCATCAACTTGTTCTCTCTGACAATCATGTACGCGTCCTTGATGGCCGACGGTTCCTCTGACTGCAGCGCCTCTTCGACGTCATTCTTCCCGTATCCCATAGTCTTGCTAATCTTTTCCGTCACCTCGTTGTGCAGCTTCTCTTGCACCTGCGTGGATGCATTGGGAGCAATGTCGCACGTCTCAATCGCCTTGTTGGGGTCAACGCCGGTGTTGAGGAACTCTTCGACGGGGGGCTGGAGGTAGGCGGGCAGGTCAGTCACGAACCACGAATCCTGCCTGATCTCCTCAATGGTGGCCCGCTGCACGGGGTTCACCACCAGCATCTTCTTGATGAGGTTGGCGGCACCGGCCGGCATCCAGGGAGGGATGCTGTAGGTTCCCCTCGCGATTTTAGCAAAGAGGCTAGGGATGTGTTCGTCGTCAAAGGGCAGTCTTCCGACGAGGAGCACGTAGAGAATGACGCCGCAGCTCCAGACATCGACCTCGGGGCCGGCGTAGAGCTTGCCGCCAATGACCTCGGGGGCGGCGTAGTTGGGGCTCCCGCAGCTTGTCTTGAGGAAGTTGCCGTCGGTCATGATGTTGCTCAGACCGAAATCGGCAATCTTGACGTTGAGATGCTCGTCGAGGAGCAGATTCTCGGGCTTGAGGTCGCGATGGACGATTTTGTGTCGGTGGCAGTACTCGACAGCACAGAGCATCTGTTGGAAGAAGCGACGGGCCTCGGACTCGCTCATGCGTCCGTGCTGGACGATGTGGTCGAATAGCTCGCCGCCGGCGTACTCGAGGACCATGATGATTTCGGTGTGGGTCTTGATGACGGTGTACCTGGAGCATGCCACGGTCAGAATGGAGCGCACGACGAGCAGGGAGCCGACGTACAGCTTGATGATGTGCGGGTGGCGCAGCAGCTGGAGATACTCAATCTCTCGCTCGACACGGCCTGCCATGTCGCGACTGATGAGTTTCTTCCTGGCAATGATCTTGAGGGCCACCTGCTGGCCGGTGCCGTGGTGGATGGCCAGCTTGACCTTGCCAAAGGAGCCCTCGCCGAGGGTGCGGACGATCTTGTAGGCGCCGATGCGCTGCTCGGCCTTGGACCTGTCGCGCAGGGGGGGGTCCATGGCGCTGGCTCGGGAGCTGGGCTTGGACGACGAAGGCGATGGTGCGGCGGCGGCGTCGCGAGCATGCTGGCGGGAAGCCACTTGTCGCTGCTGCTGCTGCTGGCGGCGAACGTGGGACGAGGACAGGGAGATGGTGAGCTCCTCGTCCTCGAAGCCTCCGCGAGGAGCCATGGTGTGGTGAGTGGGTATCAGGGTCGGCTGTCAATGGCCGTCTTTGGCTGCCATGGGTTGCTTGATCGGGGCAAGGGATGAAGTCGGTGGTTGGAGTGGAGGGGTTGTTGCTGCGCGCAATGGGAGCCCGACTCTTTTTTTTGCTTGGGCCCCGCCGCCGCGACCTGTACTTGGCCGCCCAATGTACAGTACTTGGGCATGTCCAGAGACCATCACCTTGGTGCGCGCAGCCACCTGACGTCACGTACCGCACCCAATCGAGGTACATGGATGACGCACCTCGCTATATAGGGGCACCACCCCACCCCGAGCCATCGCTGTAAAATGCACTGGCCGGTTCGGACGCCAGCTGGAGATCCCCAACGGCACCCGGAACCTGCTAGAGTCCGGCGTCGCTATGAGCGACTTTCTACGGGGTGAGAGCCGATGCCTCGAGGTTGGACGTCCCACCTTTCTCAACCTCATGCACCATCCTGCAAACACCCGTGCAAACCTGCAACCTGGACTTGAAACTCGCTGTACAGTACGACTGCCCATCAAGGTGCAACGGGCGGTGAGCGCCCCTATCCACTGTACTGCTCTCCGAGGCGCAGAGCCCGAGAGCGGAGGCTGTCTGCCTCTCCGCTTCGCCGTCTGACATTCTTGCGCGCACGTGCACCGAATGCCTTTTCATGAGTGTATGCTTGACGCATGTACATATATCAGATTCGGCAATGCTCTTTACCTGTCCCACGAGTATGCCGCCGCCAAGTCGGCCAATTCCCGCGGCGCTACCGAGCTTTGCGCCGGAAAACGCGCCTGATTTCATCATCTTTCTCTCCCTCCCGTTTGTGAGATGTGATTCCCCCGTCATGCGAGGTCGTCTTACGTACTGATCCCAACTGTTTGGGTGTGGAGGGCCGCTCTGGCCCCATGGATGAGGTCAAGCTGCCTCGCCGTCCCTCACGTGAAAGACTACCAGCTGCCAATCCTGGACCATCGTCATGCCCGGGGTCTAGACTCTGATCATCTCCGAGTCCAGCTGCGTATCCTGGACCGGCCAGCCTCTCAACCTGGCTGACACTGTGCCCCAGCACGAGATTCTCGGCCGCCGGCGACGCCCGCCTTATCGCCTGGCACGCAGCAGCTCGGCGCCTGTCCGTCATCTTCGACAACGCCGTTGACAGCGGTCGTGCAACATAGATTCGAGTGAATTGTCCCATCACCCAGTTCATAATAGCAAGCCCCCCCGCTCATCGGGAAACGTGGCGCATCACGACGCCCGTTCCTTGGCCTCTTCTTTCCTGAGCCTGTCCACCAGCTTCTCCCTCAGAAACGGGCTCAAGCCAAGGCTGTCAATGCAATCAGTCAGTGGCTCTCGATGTTCCTCTCTTTCTCCCAAATTTCACTCACATTCCCTCGTTGGTCACGAGTCTGTATGTTCCACTGCCCTGCACTCTTCCCACCACCTGTCCCCCATGATCTACCTCGACGCTGCCCAGGATGTCCTCGGGCCAGGCTATTCTGCCAAAGTCCGGAGGGTTTCGGCGGTCGCTCAGATGCACCCAGCCCCCTACGCCCCCCCCTCCGGCACCACCCTGCGCGCTGGCTCCTCCAGCGCCGGTCCCGCCCGCGCCGCCGCCGCCGCCCTGCTTGCGAGATGCACGTCTGTCTAGGCGCTGTTGCGGGAAGAAGGAGCCCCCGGAGCCCAAGGAGAAGCCGCCGGGGCTGGCCAAGGCTCGGGCCTGGCTGACGACGTCTTCGTCCTCGTGTCCGTACTCGGTGATGACCTCGTTAAGAATGTCCAGGAAACGCGGGTTCTCGCGGAAGGATTGGGGACTTGGCGGGATTTTCGTGCATGTACCAACGGCTAGTCTTTGCGAGGGCGGCTTCGTATCGAGGTAGGTGAGGATGTAAGACGCGGGTGACGAAGGGTTGTCGAAGACCTTCTTCGGAGGCAGTCAGCAAGCAGCCTCAATGCCAGAACGGGTGGGATCGTCACGAACGATGTGAGGATTATTCGCAAGCGTCGTCAGCATTCGCCGTGCTATCCTCGTGCTCGGAGGAGCTAATCGAAAGGTGGCTGCCAGCATTTCTGCAGTGATTAGAGCCTATCGGAGTGATCTTCTAGACGCGAAGCTGGGTTTGGAGCCAAGGAAGGCCTTTTTCTCTGGTTTGGGTCCGGTCCGTCCAACCTACCGGGTAGGTAAGGGACCTAGGTAGGTACCTAGGTACCTAAAATGAAGTCACCGACAGGAGCTCTGGGTACGTACTGTCGTTTCTCCACAGCCACTGGTCTGGGTTATGCAACTAAACGAGGTCAATTAGACGCGTCGACGCGCTTCCGCCGACGACGCGACGAGGCGGGAGACCAATCCCCTCGGCCGGCGGTGATGAAAAAAGAGAAACTCATCATAAACAGGAAGTTATTGCAGCCCTCACTACAAGCGATTTTACCCCTTGAATCTGCACTGCCGGCATTGACGCTCGGATGAGAGCCGTTAGGACCCGCGGCGGGAGGAGCAGAATCTTTCGACATCCATCCTGCGGCAACTGAGGTCATCGTCGGATTTGGCCCCGCGCTCTCTGCTGGCTTGACCGGCCCTTGCTGCCGTGGTAGCTAGCTAGTACTTGACAAGCAAAAGTTAAAACTAGCAAGGCATCCTGCAACGCTCACGACCGCGGCCATGGACAAGACTCCCGCCCCCCTCTTCCGCAAGCAGAATGCGATACCTTCATCCGCGCTGCCCTCGTCGTCCCCAGCATTCGGCACGCCCGTCCACCCGCTCAAGCCCTTCAACGTCGCCGTCACCAAGGCTGCGATCCTCCCCATCATCCTGCCTCCCGCTACTCTCCGCCCGCTCGCATTCCGCACCTTTACCAAGAAACACTCCTTGACCCTGACGTCGTCGGCGCTGCAGGAACTCGCCTCCTTCATCGGCCGGCACTGCGGTTCAGGATGGCGTGAGGAGGGCCTGGCTGAGAGGGTGCTCGAGGAAGCAGCTAGGAGCTGGAAGAATAGGAACGGCGGCGTCATTGTCGATGGCTCCAGCAAACAGCTACACGATATCCTCAAGACGTTGGAGGGGAACATGAGTGGCGGCAAGATTGTTGGACCGGGCAAGAGTCTTCCGCGAGGAGACAGCATTTTGGACGCGCGCGATGGTGATGAGGTCAACACACGGTTGGGCTTGAGACCAACGACGCTTACGAGGGAGGACAGCAATGCCAGCTTCGGGATATCCGGCCTCGGCGTCCAAGAGGAGGCGGACGACGATGAAGAAGCCAATGATGCCCGGACGTGGCTCAAGATCATCGACGCCTACGAGCAACCGAGGCTCGTCTTCAACGTCGGCAAGAAGCACTTTGAGAGGTACAAACGCCACGCCTCTTTCGCTCTCCACCAAGACAGTCACTGACATTGAGTCCAAAGAGAGACGGCACAGCCATCACTATTCCCTCCCGCATCCCACAAGACGGCCGTCTTCCGCAACCGCTATAACGTCATTCACCAACGCCTCCTCCGCAACGAAGCCTTCCAAACCTCGACCGTCTCCTCGTCCCGCCAACGCTCCCTCCAACGCTCGCTCTCGAACCAGCAATCGCTCAAGATCACCCCGATCGCAAACATGCTCGGCCGCCACGGGAGCAGCCACATGCTTCTCGGCCAGCTTGTAGTCCTGCCGACAGGAGACCTCGCCATCGGCGACTTGACTGGGGCCATTGCCCTCGACCTCAGCCAGGCGGTTGCCATTCCCGAGGATTCGGCGTGGTTCTGCCCCGGCATGGTGGTCCTGGTGGACGGCGTGTACGAGGAAGAGGAGGAGTCGCTGGGCAAAGGGCTCAGCGGCAGCAGCGGTGTTGGAGGGACGCTGGGGGGCCGCTTCCAGGGCTTCTTCATCGGCCAGCCGCCGTGCGAGAAGCGGAGGGCGACGCTGGGCATCAGCAGCCCCGACGGCGGGCAGGACCACACCATTGGCGGGGGCTTCGGCTGGATCGACTTTCTCGGCGTCGGCAGTGAGCGGGCCGTCGGGGCCAAGATGCGCAGGCTGGAGCGCCGCCTGCTGCCGCCGCCGCCGTCGCAGGACGCGCCGGCAGGCCGCAACCGCGTCGTCATCCTGGGCGAGCTCAACTTGGACCAGCCGCGGGCTTTGCAGGCCTTTCGCAAGATCCTGTCCCTATACGCCGCCGAGCCCGAAGGCAGCTGCCCCGTCAGCTTCGTGCTGATGGGCAACTTCACCCAGCACGCCGTCATGGCCCGTGGCGGCAGCGGCGGCAGCATTGAGTACAAGGAATATTTCGACGCCCTGGCCTCGGCCCTCTCTGACTTCCCCACCCTCCTCCAGGCGTCTACGTTTGTCTTTGTGCCCGGCGACAACGACGGCTGGGTCTCGGCCTTTACGGCCGGCGCCTCGGTGCCTCTGCCCCGCAAGTCCGTCCCGGAAATGTTCACGTCGCGCATCCGCCGCGCCTTTGCAAACGCCAATGCTGAGGCCGGCAGGCATCACGGCGTGCAGGGGTCGGCCGTGTGGACGACGAATCCGAGCCGCCTTAGCCTCTTTGGCCCCAACCACGAGCTCGTTCTCTTCCGCGACGACCTCTCGGCCCGTCTCCGGCGCACTTCCGTCGTACTGAACCGCAAGGCGGCAGAGAACGAGGGAGCAGAGGGGCAGAGAGAAACCGCAAGTGTCGCGGGAGAAGCCGGCGCCGCAGCCCACCCCCACCCCCCCGATCCTATGGACATTGACGCCGGCGCCGCAAACGACGACAAGCCCTCGGCATCCCCCCCCCCACCCCTTGACGAAGACGTGCGCACCGCGCAAAAGCTCGTCAAGACGCTCCTCGACCAGGGCTACCTCGCGCCCTTCCGCCAGGCCATCCGCCCCGTCCATTGGGACCACGCCTCGGCGCTGCACCTGTACCCGCTGCCCTCAGCCATGGTGCTCGCCGACACCACGGCGCCGCCCTTTTGCCTCAGCTATGAAGGCTGCCATGTCATGAACCCAGCCGCCGTCCTCGTTGCCGGCAAGAAGGGCGCCGCCAGGTGGGTTGAGTACCAGGTCGGCCGCCTGGGCAGGCTGCGCGAATGTACCTTTTAGCCTTGGGCGGGACTACTGTTTATTTGCGTGTCTGTACATGGCTGGTGGATGACCTTATGACTCGGGATGGACGGAGTATTCTGCGCCTTCTTTTATGTATTTACAACGACGGTGATTCTACAACCATGGGGCATCTTTTGGTGAAGAAGCGGCGTAAAATCGAGACTTTAAGGATTATATAGAGTTTATGAGTGGGTATAGACGCCCTCCCAGCGCAACTAAATAGGCATCGAGACCACAGATGGAGAAGATGGAGAAAGTCGAGCACAGGAATAGGGTCCCATAGTCGAGGCCACCGGACGCTCCCTCTGCATATACAAACTCCCCTGTGCCTTAAGTTTGCGGTCACAAAGCGACGGGTCCGGGCCTGCCTTGCCACAGAACACGCCGGAAGCTTTCGAGGGCCACTTCACGTGTACTCGAGAAGCAGCTCATCCTGGTTCAACACGCCAAACAGGCCCTCAATCTCATCCCTCACCTTCCTCAGCTCGTCAGCCACCTGCGCCGTCACGAGCGTGTACGCGTACAGGAGCGCATAGTCCCTCTCATCCGCCGCAACGCCCCGCCCCCCGTCGGCGTCGGCGTCGTCGTCGCTGTCGTCCGCCTCGCCCTGGCGTAGCTCCGCCCCCATGTGGTTCTTGCGAAATTGATATATCTTTCCCAGCAGCTGGTCCTTTGTGCTGTCAATCGTCGGCGTGGCGTCGGTGAGCGGGTACTCGAGCATGATGCTCGACGCGAGCACCTGGAACACGTGGCATATGCGCTGGCACAGGCGCACGCGCTCGGCCGTCGTAAACTCGAGCAGCGCCCGTTCGCCGGCCGACAGCGAGAGGCGCCGCTGGGTGATGAGGCGCATGGCGTAGAAGCCGTCGAGGATGTGCTTGGTCGAGTGCATGATGCGCCCGTAAGCTTCGTGAGGAAAGGGACCGCGGAGCTCAAACTCGGACTTGGCCGCCTCGCGAAGGGACTCGAGCTTGAAGGCTAGAACAGACAATCGGTTAGTGCGACTGCGTCCGCAAAGGAGAGCAGGGCTCGTAATGACTTACCGTAGCGTTGCAGGGCAACCTGCTCGCCCTCGCGCAGGTAGTCAAGGGTATTGTGACTCTCGACAAGAATGCCCAACGGCCCGCGCTTCCATATGAGGCCGAGCTGAAGATACAGCACCGACAGCCCCTCACGAAACTTGCGCCGCCCGGAGATAGGCCATAGCAGCCTGCAGACAATCATCCCCCACAAGATTCCCAGCGTAACGGCCACGACTCGGTGATAGGTGATGTTGAAGATGAGTGGCTTGGTGCCCCCCTCGTCGTCGTCGTCGTCCTCGACGTTCTGCGATAGGCTGTACGCGTAGAGGACAATGACATTATAGGCAAGCAGCGAGATGCGGCCCAGCGGAGCGTTTTTGATGACCAGGATGAGATAAAAGTTCCAGCACGCCATGAGCCAGCCAAACAGGGCGAGGAGGTAGGGGTTGTCGTCGCTTGCGATCCACGAGACGCAGGCGCAGATAGCCCCTATCAGTGTTCCCACGAAACGGGCTGTCGAGGTCGTGTTGGATGCGCCCGTCGTCATGCCGACGACAATCATGTACGACAGCAGTCCCCATTCGCCTCTCCACTGTTGATACATGGGCCGCGTGTCCGGTATAAAAGCGAACATGGCCCATAACACGGCTCCGATGCCGACCTTGATGCCAAAGGTAATGTCTTCGCGCGCGAGGAACCGCAGCATCGTCAAGAGGGACTGCGAAACGGTGCGCAGGAAAAGGCTGGATTGCGGTGCAGCGTCCCAGCTGAAGGCGTCCCTTTGCCTCACCATGGCCGCGGGGATGCCCTTTGGCAAGGCCGACTTTTTGACAGGCTTGACCGTTGTTTTCTGCAACAGAGGCTCGCGCTCAGGGTCGGGTGACATGTCCCGCCGCCAGCGAAACGGCTTCCGGTAGGTCCAGAACTTCAACCAGCTCCAATTTCGCTCGTTGGCCGCCGTCGTCTGCTTCAGGTCCTCGAGAACCTCCAAGTAAGCGTCCATCTCGTCCGCCACGGCCAACAGGGTGAATGAGAAGTGCCCGCAGGCAGCCGCAACCTCTTCAATGTCGGCCTGGATCTTCTCAGACCTGCATCTTCCAAGCTCTATGCTCCTGTATAGCTCCTGCAACGCAGCGCCTCTAGCTTGGTTGTACAGGCTGAGAGCGTCCCGCAGGCTCTCCTGGAGCTGGTCGTTGATCGTCACCTCGACCCACGAAACCTGATCAAAGGGACTTTCTCGGAGGATTTCGGAGAGGGTATAGACAAGAGACTTCATGGGGGGGCCCAGGCGCGCCATGAATAGGGCAAAGATGTCGGACGGCGCCCGGAACATGGGTGACTTGTCCAGAGTCGGGTCGGAGTGCGTCAGCGGCAATGACGCCCTCGCCTCGTCCTCGGCCTCTTGGATGACGGACAAGGGCTCTCTCGCCTCATCGATGAAGGCAGACATGGCCCGCACGAGCCTGGGCGAAAAGGGTGGAGGCGCGGGCGATGAAACAGCCGACGCTGGGTGTGGTCCTGCCGCAGGAACCTCTTTGAGAAGGGTAAACTGGGTGTCTAGGGCGCTTCGAAGGCCGCCAATGGCACGCGAAAGCGCTTCGACGGACTTGAAGAGGCGCTTGTCCAGCTGATATGTCGTCTCGCGGCCGAGGAGGTAGTACTCGAGCTTCGCCTCGCGCAGACTCTTGCTCATCTGCGCGTACGCCGAGTTGTATTGCGCGGTTGCGTGAGAGTAGGCGGGCGACTTGATCTCGTCTTCCGACCCATCCAAAAAGCCCTTTGAAATGGACGACAGCCTGTCGCTCAAGCACACCGAGGCCGTGACGATGGATTTTCGCAGGACATGCCTGGCAGAGACGCGCCAGACGAGAAAGTTGACGGCGACGGTGAATGAGATGCCGATGAGGAGCATCTTGAGAACCTGCAGAATCTTGTCGCCGGAAAAGTAGCCGTCTTGTATGGACTGCTCCTTGGTGACGACGGAGATGATGGCAATCGAGGCCAGCGTGGACGCGACGTTGACGAGGGGCTGGTTCAGCTTCTGCTTGACCCAGCCGATGAAGCCCAGACTGCCGCCGACGAAGACGACGAGAACGATGGCGTGGGCCGGGACGACAGACCCCATGCTCGTGCGCGAGGCGATGGCGGCGGCCATGGACAAGACGCACACCATCTCAGCGTAGGCGACGGCGATGATGGCAATGAAGACAGCCTCGAGCATGGAGCCGACAGTCCTTGCAGGGTGAAAGTAGACTGTCAAGGTGGCCACAATGTGCTTTCCGTCTCGATTGCCTAGGAAGTCGGACAGTGTCGGCCACAGGGTCCCGAGGCTGCCCAGCAGGTAGGCCAGGGTGCACTTGAGCACCTGATGGCCGTCTTCGGAGTTGAGCCATCGCCAGGCGGCAAGGGCATTTTCCTTAGCCCGGTCCACCGTTGTGCTTTCGGTCGTCTCGGCGGATGAGGCCGACGCTTGGCCCGAGGGGCGGCTGGGAGAACGGCCGTTGGATGCTCGCAGGGTGACCTGGCGGCGGGAGCGCTCGCCTGTGCTGGGGATGATGAAAGTGCCGTTTCGCATTTTCTGCAAGCATTTAGCGGATACTCAAATCTCGAGGGCGCAGAGCTTCGCGGAGGGATTCTGGACCGCTGGTCGGACATACACTTCTCTTGGACGGGCGGAAGGGCGGCCAGGCAGGCGAGGCACCGGGTCCGCCTCCGCTCGAGCTCATCGTGGCTTCCGTCGCTCAACAGTGCTGACTGCGTTGAGCGCGAGGCGGTAAGCGTCATCGTCTCTGCACTCAGCTCAAGTGCCGTCGTTGCCAGCCTCGGGTCAGAGCGCCTGACAGAGGAGGTGGGCGACGGAAAGCCGGGGCAGACAAAGGGACAACATAGGCACCCAACGCAGATGCAAGCAGGAGGCGGCCTGGTTGGTAGGTGATGATGTGGGTTGGTCGGGACGGAGGAGCTGAGGTTGGGTTGGGTGCTGTAAGCCGTCTCCCCTCCCTTGAGCCGCCGTCGGTCGCCTCTGCTCCCTGAAAAGCTCTTGTTCAGTACTCCGTACGCGAACTGCAAAAGGAAAGGTTCGTCGAGACACGTCGCACAAAAAAAACAAGCAAAGAAGTAGTGTGGGCAAGAATAAAATAAAAGAGCGGCCCTGGCAGGACCAGGATCATGGGCCCAAGCAAATGATAAAGTGACGATGACGCGCGCCCAGCACAATCGTCACGATGCCAGCGGGGCGTCCACTAACAGTAGGTCCACTAACCGTAAGTGACAGTGGGCCCGGGTCACGGCAGTTGGTCTACTGTACTGTAAGCCCCAGCTCAGCCTTATTAATTGCAGGTACTTTGTAAGTTACCAGAGGTAGGTACGGAATAGGTACCTAAGAGACAGTCGCATCGGCGGGCCGTCCGTATGCTTGGCGCCAACGGCGCTGTGACAAGAGGGAGATAACCGAGTACCCTTTTGCAACGTGCTTCTGCTCGCCATTCACGCCGCCTTGTGAGTCCCGTTGCACCGCCACCAGGAACGTTGCCGCCCAGAGCTGCACGAGACTCGGTCCTCTGACCTCTCCTGTGCCGTGTACCGAGCCGAGCCCGTGACTTGTTGTCCGCCGCCGCTGCGCGTCTAGCCAAGGTCACGTAGAATGCGTCCCGGCCTCTCCTTGGCCACGGCCTCGCCCAGCCCCAGACGTTTCGCACCTCTGAAGGAGAGCGTGGCCGGCGGCGACAAGCTCCCAAGGCTACGCGGCGTCGTCTTCGACATGGACGGGACTTTGTGGTGAGTCAGTTTTCCACGTTCCGTGTCACACAACGCGCCGCCCTGGGTGTGTGTATGGCAGAAGCAAGCCTCCCGCAAACATAAATGCAGAAGCAGTGCCTCCCTCCACTCCCTCGGTCCAATCGAATCGGCTCTTCCCCTGCACATGAATACGTAACCCACCCATCTAACCAGCTGCCGTCAGCGAGCCTCAGACGTACATGTTCGCCGAGATGAGAGCCGCCCTCGGCATCGTCAAAGCAGTCGACATCCTTCAGCACATCGACGGCCTCCCCCCGCATGAGCAGCCCGCCGCCGCCGAAGCCATCCGCGCCATTGAGCGCCGCGCCATGGAGCTTCAAGTCCCCCAGCCGGGCGTCACGGCCCTCATGTCCTACCTCGACGCCCGCAGCGTCCCCAAGGCCATCTGCACTCGCAACTTCGACGTGCCCGTCCACAATCTTCTCACGAGGTTCCTTGCCGGCTCCGTCTTCAGCCCCGTCGTCACCCGCGCCTTCCGCCCGCCAAAGCCAGACCCTGCCGGTATATTGCACTGCGGCACACTGGGGGCTCGTCGATGATAATGGCCTGGCCGATGCGAGTGGCTTGATCATGGTCGGGGATTCTATCGATGACATGACCGCTGGCAGGAAGGCTGGTGCTGCCACCGTATTGCTGCTTAATGACGTGAACAAGGACTTGGCAAGTCACGAGCACACAGACTTGACAATCCACAGGCTGGATGACCTCATTGCTATCTTGGACCACGGTTTTGAGGCAAGAGACTTGGCCGTCGACTGAGAATCGCTACTATTCCATGCCCATCCTGTCGGCATCTGGACAAACAGGTGACTCGTGGTGAGAGCATACATCACTGGACCGGGACAAGTTTCACACGGAGAAAAGAGAACAACCATATTCCAGATTCGGCTTCCAATTCGATCCCGACGCCTGCACTGCTTCCATGTAAACATCACATAACTAGGCTGGCCCGGACTATCATATTCTAGATGCGCCCAGGAGGCATCTGTAAACGACACTGGCCTCCTGTGTTGGGTGTGGCGAGAGAGTTGGAGAAGAACTCGGTCAACAAAGACATGTGCGCCAAAAATGCTGAGCTGAGTCCAAAGTCTGGCAGCATCCACTTCATGTACATTTTCAAGGGCATTAGACGCCGTGTCCGCACGGCCACTCTGTTCTCTACAGGCCATAGCTTGGGTTCGGCGGCAACCCAAACGTTGCCTGTCTTCGGGATTCTTTTCGTGAGTCGTCCGCCGTCTGCGACTGCTTTCGCGGAGGTGCTGGAGGCAGCGTGCTGCCCAGCGGAGCGGGTCTGACCGGCAGATTGAACGTTGCGGCGTTGGCACTGGCAGGAGCCGAGTTGTCGTTGTAGCGTGACACCTGGGGAATCGAGTTGGTGGTTGCTATCCTCTGCCCCATGCCGGGGTGCGCCAGGGAGGGTGTCCGGCCAGTCCCAATGCAATTGCGACTCGGCGAACGACTTGGCTGGTCGCGTGGGGAAATGATGCCGGCGCCTCCAATGGGTATCTCGCCCGAGGTTGGTGTGTGTACGGTCCGATCCTCGATTTGCGTTTGACCAGTGGGCGAGTCGCTTGATCGCAACAGGTCTTGCGTGGCCGGCGACAGCTGCGGCCCCAGGTGAGATTTGCGGTTGTCTCGCTCCAGGAGCCCGACTGCCCATTGCCTCAAGTCGACAGGGGTCCTTTTGGCGGCCTGGACAAAGGGATCGCGGTCCTATAACGGAATTCCATGTCAGTGTCAAATCTGGGGCCAGGGGATGGGGTGGCGCCGCGAGCAGCTTACGTGAAGTTCCTGTGGCGTTGGACGTTGTTCGGGCTGTTTGTAAAGACATTTCTGTATCATGTCCTCCAGTATGCCAGGGAAAGCATCGCTCTTGGGCAGTCTCGGCGCCGGCTCATGGACAATTTGCTGCAGCAAGTCCAGAATGCCCGCCGGTGCGCACTCCTCGTCCGAGAGTTGCTCGCTCGCGGCAAACGGGAATTTGCCAATGGCCAGCTCCATGATGGACAAGCCGAAGCTCCACACATCCGACTTGACGGTGTACTTTTCGCCCTGAATTCGTTCGGGGGCCATGTAGGTTGATGTGCCGACAAAGGTGTCGGCAATCGAATTGATGAGCTCGCCGGAGACGCCAAAGTCGCACAGCTTGATGGAGCCTCGGGAATTGACGAGGATGTTGGAGGGTTTGATGTCCCGGTGCATGATGTGGTGTTTTGAGTACAGGTACGTCAAGCCGCCGAGGGTTGCTTCCGCAATCTTGCCGAGCACGTCGACGCGGATCGGGCCAAACACTCTCGAGACCCTGTCGAGAGACCTGCCATGACGGTTAGCAGCCCGAAGCGGCCTTGACGTGTCTCGTGGAAACGCACCCGACATCCATGTACTCCATGCACATGATGACGTCGTTGTTACTGTTGAGAAATGCGCCGTAAAAATTAACAATGTAGTCGGAATGGCACCCATGCATGATCTGCAGTTCTCGTACGATTCTCTTGCGCATCTCCTTCTTGGCCTCGACGTGGATGACCTGGTGCGTCGTCAGTATCAAGGGCAAGGGGAAGGGGCAAGTGGTTTGCAAACCTTGCGCGCCATGATGGTGCCCGATGTAAGGTGCTTGACCTTGCTGACTGTGCCACCATTGCCGGAGCCCAGCTCCTTGAGGATCTCGAGTTCTTCTGGCCTCAGGTCGAGTTTGTACTCGATGCCAATCTCCAGTTGTCCATCCTTGCCATCGTCGCGGGCAGAGTCGGCGTCGGGGCGGCTTGTCTCAGCCGTCGGCGGGGGTCGCGGGGCGGCGGGCGTGAGGGCGAGGCCTTTGACATTTTTGCGCTTCATGGAGCGCGGGGCAAAGGGATCGGCCATGACGGGCGGTGTGAGGGGTCGGACGAAGTGTCGTCGGGAGACTCGGATTGCGGACGGCCTGGATCACGTCGGTCGGGTCGAGAGGTGAGATGAACGGAAGCGTCAGGCTTCGAGGAGGAGGGCTCAGACGCAGCACGTCATGCCCAACGAGTGATGGGACTTGATGGACGACGGGTTTGCAACGGGCCAGGAGAGCGTCGAGGGGGAGAGGAAGTGAGAGACCTGGCGTGGAGTTGCAGAGCGGGAGCGGGAGCTCGCCGCGAGTCGTCGACGGTGGCCGGTAGTGGGGGTTATGGACCGCCGTGGCGCTTTATTAGGTCGGATCAGCAGCGCCCTGAATGGGCCCGGCAGAGGCGAGGACTGGCAAAGGAGGGAGACGGGGCGAGAGGCAGGGGATGATGGGGAGGAGTCTTGTGGTTGGCCGCCGATTTCTCCGGGGACGAGGCAATGAAACCGACATTGGCTGAAAATTGTACCGTGTGCCTCGTGACGATGAAAATGCCTCTGGGGCGAGAGTGAGGGGGCTTGAAACCGCTCTGGATTGGGGGCAACGACGCCGGGGTCCGAGTGGGAGCACACCCGCGCACCCCGGTACAGCGGTACTACGGGGACGAAGTACCTACCTGGGTAGAGAACAATAGCGTGGGGCCGAGGCAAAAGGTACCTACTAGTACCTACTAGTACCTACCTACCTACCTCCTACCTACCTACTTGCCTGGCTTCGCCTTGGTGCAGAGCGAGGAGGCTTCGCCCCGGCCCCTGCTGGAATAGGGGACTACAGTGCCGTTCAGTCCTGTGCACTAGCGCTTGCACACCACTGCCGTGCCCAACCCGAGGCATTAAGTCCGGGTCGGTATCCGTACGGCTGCTTAGCATGTAGGCCAGTGATCGATATCCCGGAAAGAAGGTTCAGTTTGCCCCAGACAGGACGGCGAGTTCGAAAAAGGAGCTGCTTTTTGCTAATAATTGATACATCAACGAATGTCGTGCTCGAGTACAGAATCAGAGAATCTACCAAGGTGGGTATCGAGTGGCTCTTCCAAATAGCAAGACGCTCGGCACGAATGCAGGCCGCATCTACGCAGCACGGTTGTTCAAGACAAGCATTCAAGCAAATGATAATAAGTTATACTTCCAATTGGATGATGCCGTACCAAGCAGTATAAATAAAGTGCATGATAATTATGGACCCTGTCTATATGGTAATTATAACTCGGAAGTTTTCGGCTGCTCCAGGCTGCAGCACACCTATAAGGCCAAGCATTCGTACAACCACATAAAATGCGATCTGACAAAAGAGCTGTACCGGTATGCCACCACGACGAATGAAATGCGTGCAGACAATATCAACGACCTCGGCGTTTGCACTGCCCCAGGCGGGCTTTGCCTGAGCGCTTCGGAAATCACCGACGCCTCCCTCGGCAACCCCTGAGTCTTCACTCACACACCCGCATCTATCTTTGCTTCACACACCAGGCACGAGCACCGGATAAAAGAGGAATGCGCTTTGCACGCAGCTGCTCCCTCTTATCCAAGTTCCCCCGAGGGGCCTTGCTACAGTCCATGGCTGTTGCGGTCACCTTGCCGCGTTCAAGGCCGCCAAGATGGTACTGCGCTGCAACTCCATAAACTGCTTTCCTCCCTTTCCCTCCTCGACCTCGGCCATTTGTGCCCATCCCCAGCCCCGGTGCTCGGTAGGGTTGAGCTTGACAGCAGCGCTGATGACGTCCCTCCTCTCAGCCGGCCCCAGTCCATGGCCCTCATCGACCTCGACTTCAAAGGTTATTTTGCGCCACGTCAAGGCGTGCTGCCTGCCATCGTCAAACTCCACATTGTCCACGTGCTTTTTGACACTGCGCAGACGAAGCCCCGTCTCTTCCCACAGCTCCCTTGACACGGAATGGAGAATGGTCGCGTCCTTATTGGCCTCGCAGGCGCCGCCGGGGACTTCCCACATCAAGGGGGCAAAGTCGTGGCTTGCTCGCTGGATGAGCATGATGTGATTGCCACTGAAGATCATGGCGCCGACGGCTAGCCGCGAGATGGAGGGATTGAGCCTCATGTACTCTGAAATGGGCATGTTGAATTCCGCCACGCCAGGGGAAACTTCAAACGTGTTTGGCGCTGCAGCGGCTGTCACGCGGTTTGCAGACTCGGGCTCCATGTTTGCCGTACGCTTCTGCCGCGACTCGCTGCGGATTCTCTAGGCAAAAAGGCTGAATAGAAGATATGATGGCGCTTGTCTTGTTGCTGTGTGTATTCGTATATGAGTCTCATGTGTACGCAAACACAACATGTCCGAAGTCTGCCGGGCATTCTTCTGAGCTATTGTGGTTCAGCCGCATCATTGAGTCACACCGAAGTCACTCGAGGAGCCGCAAAGCTCAGCACGTCATTCTGCATCTGGATCAATACATACTGCCGCGTCGAATAGTTCTCGGCTGCATCGTCTCCAAGACCCAATGCTTCTGGATCGAATAGAAAGATAAAGGGGGACAACTACAGCGGCCTTTACCAGCTAGCTCATCGAACTTGCAAGCCCAACGGCGCTACTCAATGCCAAGACAGTTTCGTAGGAGCTCCTGTGGCGTTTCATCCAATGTATCGCTGGGCTGGGCGAAAACAAGCATGTTGGCGACGGCTCCAGGTAGAAGACAGACTCTTTGCCCTCAAAGTCAGCCAGAAGTGGCCATCATCAGCGGTAATGTGTTGGAGAAAATGCCTCTACGAAATAGCCCCACTTCGAGTTTGCCGGGTGCCGTATTAATTACCTCATCCGCTCAGAGTAGTGTTACCCAATTCTCAGCAGTGGCTTACGTTAGCATCGGAACCTTGGTGCATGTATTTCCTCTGCGACCTGCGCCCGCGCTCCATCCACGCGAGGCAAGGCTGAAAGCTCTCGGTGCTGCTCTAAAAACTCAGAGCTTCAGGGAGAGCCCGACCCGAACCCTCCCGCACCTCGTCCTCCATCGCTGCTGACGCCACCCCTCTTTCCTGCGTACTCGTATTGGAACGGCTATTCCGACTCTGCTGGCTCCGTCGTGTCTTTGGCTCACGAGCCTCCACCAAGTCGCGACAACGCTGGTTCATCCCTCCACCTCCCTCCGCCAGGGTGACGGCCGACAGCCACAATGAGCGGCTCCATGCGTGACCTCATCTCGGCCGAAGCTGAGCTGGACGACGAGGAAGATGAGTCGTTCGACGAGGAGACTGGAGAGGAGCGCAGACGGAAGAAGGGCCCCCATTTCGAAGACTCGAGCGAGGAGGAGGAGGATGACGACGACGAAGAGGAAGCACGAAAGGTGCGAAAGTGCCCCCGTCTTCTCCATCCTGCATTCACTGACCATTTATCCCCATAGGTCCGAGAAGGTTTCATTGTTGATGAGGACGAGGAAGAAGAGGATGGGGAAGAGGGCGGAGAATCCGAAGGCGACGAACGACCAGTCGTGAAGAGAAAACGGGAACATCGCGACCGCGAGGAGGAGGAACGTCTCGACGAGGAAGATCTGGAACTCATTGGCGAGCAGTTTGGCGGGCGGCCTAAATCGCAGGCCCAGGTATGAAACTCCCGGAGTCGGCGGGTAATGCGAACGATGCTAACATATCGGTCCTCAAGTCCAAGTTCAAACGTCTCAAGCGCGGTCACCGTGGCGCAGACGAACCGGCCAACGAGCGCCGAGGACTCGAAGAAATATTCTCTGACGAGGATGATGATGCGGGAGACCAGCGACCCTATGGGAGACCCAACTTCCGCGCCCAGGCCGACGAGTTTGACGACTTTATCGAGGAAGATTTCCCTGAAGATGAGGATGAGCGAATGCGACAGCTTGAGGATGCCGAAGTCGCTCGCCCCAGAGATCGCGGTGTCGGTACCGTCGTCGACACCTCCGGCCTCGACAAGGATGCCCTCGACGACATGGAAGCCATTTTCGGCAATGGCGAGGACTATGACTGGGCCCTCCAGCTGGAGGAGGAGGAAGAGGACCGCGAAAGGGACGAGCAAGCAATCGAGCTCAAGGACGTTTTCGAGCCCTCGCAGCTAAAGGAAAAGCTGCTCACAGACGAAGACAACGAGATTCGCTTCACCGACGAGCCCGAGCGATTTCAACTCGATCGAAAGCCCTTCAAAAGCCTCCAGCTCACGGCCGAGCAGTTCAGGGAAGAGGCGAGGTGGATCACCAACCAGCTTTGGCCGAAGAAGGGCCTGGTCCAGGAGCTTCAGGCCCCCTTTGGCAAAGCTGTCGGCAAAGTCCTCGAGTTCTTCATCGTTGACGAGGTCGAGGTACCCTATGTGTTTCAGCATCGGAAAGACTATCTGCTGCATTCCAAAAAGATACGGAGATCGACGCGAGACGATCCAGACGGCCCCGACTACACCATCCAGTCTGACAAGCTTTTGACCCAGGACGACCTGTGGAGGGTCCTTGAACTTGACATAAAGTTTCGCTCTTTCGTCGACAAGAGGAACTCTCTCGAGAAGACGTTTGAAAACCTGAAGTCGCTTGAAGTCGACGACCCCATGGTGGCGGAGATGATCCCCGAGGCGGCTACCATGGAAGAGCTGCAAGATCTGCAAGACTACTTGCAATTTCAATACGGCCCCAAGCTGAAGGACTTGGCTGCCTTGGCCGGCAATGTGTCGCAGATGAAGCGGCCTGGGTCCAAGTCGTCACTGCTCGATCGCGTTCGCAACGGCAAGGCTTACCATTTTGTCAAGGCATATGGCATCTCGGCCGACCAGCTGGCCAAGAATGCTCTCCGACAAGGGAAGAAGGTTGCACCTGATGATGATGAGCAGTATCCCATGGATCTGGCCGACGCCCTCATCGACGACAACTTCAGCACCGGGGACCAGGTCATCAACGCCGCCCGCCAACTGTTCTCGGAGGAATTGTTCGCCAGCCCTCGGATGCGAAAGTACTTTCGCAGCTCCTACTACCAGGCCGCAGAAATCAGCTGTCGCCGGACGGACAAGGGACTGCGCAAGATCGATGACTCGCATCCCTACTACGAGGCCAAGTACCTCCAGAATCAGGCCATCGCCGATCTCGTTCACCAGCCGGAGCTATTTCTCAAGATGATGCGTGCCGAAGAGGAAGGGCTGGTGGAAATCAAGGTCGAGATGCCTCAACGATACGACTTCCGGCGTCACCTGCATCAGGAGTTTGAGTCGGAGAACTTCAGCGATCGCGCAGAGCAGTGGCGCGAGGAACGCAAGCGAGTGCTCGATCTTGCTTATCCCAAGCTGGCAAAGGTCATTGTCAAAAACGTCAAAGAGGTGATTCGGACGTTTTGTCAAGACGAGGTCCTGAAGATGTGCCGGCAAGAGTTTTACAGGAAACTGGACCAGGCTCCCTACAAGCCCAAGGGAATGGTCTCGGGCACGACGCCTCGAGTCCTAACACTCTCCAACGGCATGGGCGATCCCGCTCGCGATCCCACCTGCTGGGCCTGGGTGGAGGAGGACGGTCGCGTGCTAGAGCAGGGTAAGTTCGGCAATCTCTCTCGAGACGAGGCCCAGCGCGACGAGTTTGTCGAACTCGTCCAGCGCCGTCGCCCTGATGTCATTGGCGTGAGCGGCTGGTGTGCAGACTCACAAAAGCTGGTTCGCGACCTAGAGAGCATTGTGAGCGAAAAGGGACTCATGGGCCCCGAGTTTGACGATCCGGAGACCAACGACTACCGCACCGAGCCTCTGGAGGTGATTGTGGTCGACGACGAGGTCGCGAGACTGTACAAGGACAGCCCCCGCGCACTGGCCGAGCATCCATCCCTCAACCCCGTTACTCGGTACTGTATCGCGCTGGCCCGCTACATGCAGAATCCTCTGAAGGAGTACGCTGCACTGGGCAAAGACGTCGGGTCAATCTCGTTCCATCCTTGCCAACACCTGCTGCCTCAAGACAAGCTGACGAAGTATCTCGAGTCTGCCATGGTCGACACGGTCAACATGGTTGGCGTCAACATCAACGATGCCATGGCCGACACGTACACGGCGAACCTGCTGCCCTACGTTGCTGGACTGGGCCCCCGCAAGGCCACGAGCGTGATCAAGGCCATCAATGCAAACGGCGGATCCGTCAACACGCGGGACGAGCTGGTGGGCGACCCCGACAGCGGCAAACTGCCCGTCGTCGGTCCGAGGGTCTGGAACAACTGCGCCAGTTTTCTCTACATCGACTACGACGCCACAAACCCGTCCTCGGACCCACTAGACAACACGCGAGTTCACCCGGAGGACTACGAGCTCGGCCGCAAGATGGCGGCCGACGCACTGGAGCTGGATGAGGAGGACGTCAAGGCCGAGACGGACGAGAACGGCCCCGGAGCCATTGTGCGCAAGCTGTTCAAGCAGGACGAGCAAGAGCGCGTCAACGAGCTGGTACTCGACGAGTACGCGGATCAACTGCTCAAGAACTTCAACCAGCGAAAACGGGCCACCCTCGAGGCCATTAGTGCCGAGCTCCAAGCCCCCTACGAGGAGCTACGAAGGTCCTTTGCCGGGCTGAACCAGTCAGAAATCTTCACCATTTTCACGGGCGAGACCAAGACGTCGCTATGCGAGGGCATGATTGTGCCCGTAAACGTTCGACTGGTTCGAGACGACTTTGCTCTCGTGAAGCTGGACTGCGGCATCGAGGGCAGGGTGGAGGCGCACGAGGTGACGAGCCGCGCGTCCGTCAAGGATGTCCTGAGCACGGGACAGACGGCGCAGGCCAAGATCCTGGAGCTCAACTACAAGGACTTTATGGCCAAGCTGTCCATGCGGGAAGACTCTCTGCGCATCCCGTACAAACGGCCCATCAACTACGGCCGGGACGGCTGGGACTATGCGCTCGAGGCCAAGGACAAGGAGGAGCTCCGCGAAAAGGACAAGACGACGGGTCGCACGCAGCGAGTGGTGAAGCACCCCAACTTCAAGCCCTTCAACTCGGTGCAGTCGGAGGAATACCTGGGTTCGCAACCGCTCGGCGAGGTCATAGTTCGACCGTCGTCCAAGGGCAACGACCACCTGGCCATTACCTGGAAGGTCGCCGACAACGTCTACCAGCACATTGACGTGCTGGAGATGCAAAAGGACAACGAGTTTTCGGTCGGCAAGCTGCTCCGGGTGGGCGGCAAGTACACGTACAGTGACCTGGACGAGCTGATCGTGGACCACGTCAAGGCCATGGCGAGGAAGGTCGAGGAGCTGATGCGCCACGACAAGTACCAGAATAGGTCCCGGGGCGAGACGGGTGAGTTTTGTCCGGCTGGGGGGTCACGACAGGATGGGAGATGATGCTGACTGCTTGTACAGAGAAATGGCTGACGACGTACATTGACGCCAACCCCAACCGGTCCGCATACGCGTTTTGCATCGACACGAAACATCCCGGGTATTTCTGGCTGTGCTTCAAGGCCAGCCGGACGGCTCGGGTGATTGGGCTACCGATCCGAGCCATTCCGCAAGGGTACGAGCTCAAGGGATACCAATACCCGGACATGCGCGCGCTGTGCAACGGCTTCAAGCTGCGGTACCAGAATGAGTTTTCCAAGATGGGGACAAAGTGAGTGGTCTGAGCAGCCGGGAGCAGCCAGCTGTGCGCCGATGTTTGTCGAGTATCAGTCTCGGCAGCTGGGGGGGGGTTGAGGAAAGGTGAGGGGCCATGATGAAGAGTGACGAGAGTCAAGCTTGCGAGGTTGTGATTTCTGACATGGACGTTCTAATTTTTTCTGAAGGAGGGCTCTGCAAGACGGAATGGATGGATTGCCCGTGCGAGGCAAAGGATGCAAGATAGGCAACGAGGTGTCGCCCTGGCGCGAGCAAGTTCAGCCGAGACCCGTCGAGATAGATAAGACGAGTCGTAACGATTGAAGCTTTTGAAGCGCGCATCGAGGCGAGCACGTGCTTGTACCGTCGCTTGTCTGTTCGTGTAGACATCAGCGTACCGTACATCCTCCTCTGCTACAGACATCAACGTGCGTTCTTCTCGGCTGGGTACCTTGCCATGCATCTCGCGACAATTGCTGCATGCCTACATTCATGGCGGATGAGGAGGCTTCTCACGCCGACGCGGCACCATTCACAATCCCTCCCTCGCTAGCAAACAAACCCTCCCCCTCCCCCCCTTCCGCTTCTTGTTCACCCGACGGTCTCTCGCGCGAGCGGGGGGATGCCGTGGAACGACGGGGCATGGCGGAGTGAGTGGTTGGGACCCCGTGGTGGGTGTCAGCGTTGCCATGCATGGTCCTCTAGCAAACAAGCCCCTCTCAGCTGTCGTCCCTATCTGGCTCTCTCCCCGCTTTCTCATCTTCAACGTTGCTCACTCTCGGGAGCTCTCTGCACTGTTCTTCTCGGGAAGGGGAGGAGGGGCTGAAGCGGCAAAGGGCGTGGATCAGTCATCATACCGAACGCCGATGCAGTCGCGACTTCGTGCTCGGATGCTCGTCACAGGGGCGAGGCACTCGCACCAGAAAAGCATAAACGGCAGACAGGGCCGATCCGGATCCATTCTAGAGCCTGGCTCGTGTCGCCGTCAGACAGGCTGTGGTGATACAATAGTACATTTGGGCCCTCCTAGATAAACCTCGGTGCAAAGCAAGATTGCGCATCCATCGTGATTCCCCCGCGGGTCAAGCGGAAGAGGGGTCTGTCAAACAAACTCCATTTCATGATACACCCCTCCACGGGCCAGCCGCAAGGTAACGGCAGTTCCGCTGCGTCGTCCCCAACTTCCAAGGCAACAAAAGAACAAGCAAAGTATTCGGGTTTTCATGGTTTTCGTGGAGTGCGGCGGGCCGTGTCAGTGCGGGGCCAAATCGGCGACCGGGGGTTCGGCGAGGATGCGGGGGTGGGGCGCCTAGGCGGAAGAGCGGCCGCTCTCCGACGAGTCCGTCTTGGAGAGCTCGTCGCCTGTCTCGTCGTTGGAAGGGCCGTGGAGGGACTCTTCGAAGACGGGCTCCTGTTCGTTGACCTCGAACTTGGTCTTGAAGTCTCCAATGTGGTGGGACAGGTTGCTGCTGTTGGAGCGGCGGCGGGCGTTGGTGAAGCGGAAGTCTTGATCCACGACTTCCTGCCCCATGTTGCCCCTTTGGAACATTGTGAGTAATTGGTTATGACTGGGTTGATGAGAGAGATGGAGAGACAGAGTGACATACCAGTTGCCCTTACCGGCGCCGTCCTTCTTGATCTTCTTTGGGTCGGCGTCCAGGTGGCCGGCCTTTGCGAAGAAACGGGGAAGATGCTCGGTGGGGGCGGCGGTGCCGTCTGCCAGGCCTCTGTGATCACGATCATTGGCCTTGTGAGAGCGAGTCACTGGAGACGAAACTGTTTAGCCAATGTTTGCATTGAAGTCGATGGAGAGAAGAGATGGACGGATGTATGAGTGCTCGAGGGGTGAAACGATGCGCCAAGGAATCATGATGGGTGGCGTCGGTGTTACAATGCATCACCCAACAGATCAAGGCAGTAACAAATGAAGACAGCACACAGGACAGAGAAGCGAGTGTAGAGCGAGGTTGCGGCCAACTTACTCTTGCAGGCGAGAGATGAAGTGTGCTAGAAAAGTAGAGGGGCTTGAGCTTGGTTGAGGCCAAAGGTGATGAAGCAGTCAATTGGCGATATGATGTGCCGTGTCACAACAAGGTGAAGCTCGGCGAGAGAGAGACAAGACGTTGATTATTTGGCGGATGGGTTGATGAATTCGAGGGATGGGAGGTGATGATGGATGAGGGAGATGATGGATGAGGGAGATGATGGATGAGGGAGATGATGGATGAAGGTGAAGATGGATGGATGGAGAGACGAAAGAGGGGAAACAAGGGAGAGGAATGCAGAGAGCTTTGGAGGGTGCGGGAGACGACAAGCTAATCGGGGACGAGGAAGCAGTGGCATTTGTATCATCAGGAGGACGTCAGGCGAGTGCCGGGGGTGGTGTGATCGATTGCAGGGTGAAGCACGGCGTACAGTGCGGGCTGAAGGGTATCTGGTTGTGGCGCCCCAGCACAGGCGTGAGCGGCATCCTTTCCTTTACACGCACTGTGTGGGCATCTCCATGCTGGAGTGACGTGCGAGCACTGGTACATCAAAGTACCGGACCGGCAAGCTCCCAAAGCAGGCGCCTTGCACCTGGCGAAGAACAGCAGTCAATGGCCCTTGGAGCTCAATGCTGCCTCTGGAGAGCATGTCGCCATGACCAGATAACAGTTGCGCACACTGTAGAGTCTGCAGAGATGAGTCTTTGCTGCCATCAGAGCTCCTGTAACGGAGCCAAGGGAGGGGGTTTGCTGTCGCGTGACCTCAAGTGACGGGTGACGCAAGAGCTCAGCCAAAGCAACCCAGGTAGGTACTTACAGTGAACAGTGCTGCTTCGTACTGTGTGAAGTCGCCAACGGGGTCACGATGCATGGAATATGCACATCATGTACGTATCCGTACTAATTAACAAGTCGGCATGCATTACCATGCCAAGGGATTAGAGCATCTAGACGCAGACAGACATGACAGACAATGACGCCTTTTGCAACATGGTCCGTCGTCACCGTCCATTAGATTGCGCAATTGGGAAGAGAGAATCTGTTTGCGCCATTTGTGTCAGGGTCCAGACCACCAAGACGGCCCAACAATCAATTGACATTGATTGACTCGGCTGGAGAAGACGTCCACTGTTCGGTGCTTTCTTCTGCTTCCAATGATGCTGTCTCGGCTCCTCAGCCCCGCAGGCGACGGGGACGTTCAGGGGCTGTGACGTTGCCGCCTGATGCCTGTACTGTTCCTGCATTGTCCATGCTCAGCCAGCATCAACAAACGAGGGAAGTCAGCAAACTTGAAGGCAGCTCGACGGAAATAATGTTCGTTGGTAGACGGCCTAGGCATCTGGACCCTTGGGGTACCTGCCTCAGCTGCAGCAGGTACCGTACTGTGCCAGACTGCAAGCCGGTTCACAGTATGTATGGGGACGCGCGCGCACGATTGCGGGGTACGGGGAACAAGACAGGTCCGGGTACAGGGGGGGCAGGCGCTAGTGGAGCCCCTGGAGCTCACAGCGGGCGGAGAGCTGTTTGTTGGTCCCCTCATTGAAGCTTCCAGTCAATTCCACTCTTTCCCTCTCTTCCTATCTCCATCAGCGTCTAAAGAAATGGCCAACAAGGCAGAAGAAAAAAAAACGCCAGCCACAGCTCACGTGCCTCTTCGGCCTCCCGGACCACTTTTGGCACACAAGGTGGCTTCTTCGCCACTGCTTCCCGCATTCCCGCCCGGGTGACCAGTTCGACCGGAAACGGCCCCTGACTCACCGCGAGACTCACCGCGTCTTCGGCCTTTCCCTTTGAACCGGCAACTGCACTTGCACCCCTGGGGCACGTCAATGCAGGTACCGTACCACCATTGACGCTCCGCCGTCGCAGCAGAAATGACGCTCTCTTTCCGCTTCCCACCCTCACGTCACGGGCGGTCCCGCTCTCTGCACCGCCGCTCTTCGCTACAATGCCGAGCCGAGGGTCTGGGTACCCAAGCATTGTCCCTTGTGCCCGAGTGGCTGCATGCGTAATTGCGTGGCCAGTTTATGCCTCGGAGCAGGAGCTCTGCGCCCACTGTGGGCCAGGTAGCTGATGGCCTCCTCGCTCGTCATCTCTTGTCAATCGACGGGCAATCAACGTCGACGAGACGGAAATACGGAAAATCACCATCGACCTGTTTCAGTACCATCGTGTAATAGTGCGTAGACTGGTCCTTTACTGGCCCCGTGATAAGGCTGAGCCAAAGTGGCCCGTGCCCCACTCACAAAGCACGAGGCTACGTCGACAGCGCGTGTTAATGTTCGGATAAACTCCAGACAAGACTGCAGCGCAGGCTTGCTTCCTGCAACAAACGCAAGGGCGATGCAAAATTGAAGAACCCGCGAGCCAGCGTGCCATCAGCTCGCTTGCACGCAGATCATCTACACCATTTTCATATCACTCGCCACACATCCTTCCCATTTAAGCCGCTTGAGCGGTCGCCAGTTGCGTTCCTTTGCCGGCACCTCGAAAAATTCAGGACAAGAGGTCGCGACAGGCGCACGCGCAGCGAGAAGACACGGCAACCCGCAAAAGAATCAAGGCAGAAATAGAGGGAGACAGAAAGAAAATCGTCAGGGGCCTCGACAGGCCGCTCTTGGCGGGAGCTAGCAGTCCTCCTCACCCACCCAGGCCTTCTCGTCGCCACCATGGCCCTCCCACCCGCCTTCCACGAATCCCTTCCCTGTACGCTCCCTCTCCTCCCGTCTTCTCTTCTATTGTCGAAACCATATATACTGATATCCATTTCCCTCGCAGACATCGACCCCGAACTCTCCCCTGCTGCCCTCGCCGCCGCCCACGCCCTCATCTCCGCCGAACAATCCCAAGCCTCCCCCCTTCCTCCGCATCCCCAAACCGACCGCCCATCCCTCCTCACCCCCGCCCTCGCCGCCGAGCTCTCCCGCGTCACCTCGGGCGAACCGGCCAAACCCCTCTGCCTCTCGCGCTACGAGGCCCAGGAACCCCCCTCGCCGGGCTCCTCGTCGACCACTTCGCTGCGCCCCGTGCTGGAAAACGCCTACATCTCCGCCGCCTATCTCACCTCGCGCGCCCAGAACCTCATCCTGCTCGATCGCCACGGCGCAAACACTTGGCTCCTCTCCAATTATCATCTTGAGAATGACCTTCGTCGCGTCGAGCGCGAGCTTGCTGACACTAGGCGGAGTATTGACGAGGTCAACGCCCAGCGCGCAAAGAGGCAGGAGGCCGTGCGCGCAGAGCTGCTCATGCTCGATGAGACTTGGAGGCGCGGTGTCGGCCGAGTCCTTGAGACCGAGGTTGCCGTCGAAGAGCTCAAGGCTCAGATACGGGAGGAGCTCAAGAGGAAGAGTGCGCACGAGGCCTTATAAGGCCCGGTGAGGGGACGAGGCGGAGCGTTGCTAGTAGATGGGAAATTTGAAGAGCGAGGGCGAGCGCATCGTCTCTCCATGGAGCCTGCGGCTGATGCTCAAAGCTGTAGTGGTTCTAGTGAACACGAATAAATTGGCAGAGGTGCCGAACAATTGTGCGAGATTCAGCCAGGCTTTGGTTCATCAACATATATCATGCAGCTTTCGCAATTCTCCTCATTTGCTTCATGCGTGGCAGAGCCAGACCATGACTGCCCGGCGGCACCGAAGCATCGACAACATGTCTGTTTAGTAGTCATATTCTCTCCTAGGAAAGCGAAGGTGGTGGGAGATGATGGTTCCTCCCCATCAAACGCCGACTCGAATTGCAAAATCCCGTGGAGCAGTCATGCCAAACAACAGGCACAAAACAACAGTCACTTCCAGCAGCACGACAATCCTCGCCACATTCTGCACCTCCGCTCACGTTCCAGGGCCTCGCAGCCCTGTCCCGCCAGCGACAAGCTCCATTATCCAGAGCTCAGGGGGTCCACATCTTCCACTCCTGTTGCGACGCCTTCGTACTTGGTCCGCCGGAGGATGCCCTCGACGGGACCGAGTAATCTCTGGAACGCGTTCTTGCCCAGCGACGCCACCTTGACGTGCGTCGAAGCCATGATACTAGCGGCTCGCGGTGCGTCGTTGAGCAGAGCCAGCTCACCGAAATAGTCGCCCTTCTTGTACTCCAGCAGCTTGTTGCTGGGGTCGCCCTTGTATGCCACGGCCTCACCGCTCTCCAGCAGGTAGAATGAATGGCCCGGGTCGCCCTCCTTGATGATGATTTCCCCGGGAGCAAATTTCCGCGTCTCGAGCGCATCGGCAATCTTGGACCGCTCGTAAGGGTCCAGGATGGACAGCAGCGGTACCTCTTCGAGGAAACGCTCGTACATGCGTCTCCGGGCAAAGGTCGACTCCATCAAAATGCGACGGAAGGTGACGCGGTCGAGGGCCCAAAGCGTGCATCCGGGCTCGACGGAGATGACGGTTGCGGCGCGAGGAGCGTTGTACATGAGGGCCAGCTCACCAAAAGAACCGCCAGCCTCGATGTTGCCGACCTTGTTGCCCAGGCCGTCGGGGCCGGGTTGGATGCTGCCGGATGGGTTGACGTAGACGTCAAAAGACCCCTTTTCGACGACGTAGAAAAAGTCGCCGGCGTCGCCTTGGTTAATGACCTGGCTAGTCGTCAGCTGACAGCCGCAAAGACACGCGCAAGTCACGGAGCAACGTGCGAACTACGCACCTTGATGCCCTTGGCAGGTATCGGCTTTTCCACCATGGCGCCGAGAATCTGCCCGCTTTGCTCATCTTCCAAATGCTTGAAGAGAAAGTTGCTCCCAATGGCAGCCTTCAAGCGCTCCAGCTGCTCGGGCGTCTTATCGTGCTGGGGCGGCGACCAGTTGTCATTGTTGTCGGCGTTGGGCTTCAACGATTCGGCGGACACGGAAGTTCGGCGGTTGAAGTTGTACTCTGCGGGATAGCTGTCTTGGCTTTGGGCGCTGCGAGCCGGAGGCGGGCCGTCGGTAGGGCCGTCGGCCCCAAAGTTGGCCTGCGAGTTGGGTCCCGACCGTGGGACGGAGTCGCTGGTGATGAACTGGCCAGACGCCTCATCTTCGTCGACTTCTTCGGAGACGGGGTCCATGATGTGCGAGCCGGTGGCGCTATCCCCAAAGGGATTCGCGCTGGCGCTGAAGAAACTCGAGAAGAGGCCAGACATTACTGCGCTGCTTGGCACTCGCGATGGGACTTGATGTGAGATTCGGTCGGTCTGAGGGAGGGTGAAGATGCTGGTCGTTGTGGCCAGTGATGACAGATATGACGAGGAATGTGCTTGAGCAGACGCCTAACCAGAGGCCTTGAAGCAGCCGACACGGGTAAGTAACTCGTCGGGAGCTGCGGCAAGGATGGGTGATGTGGCAGACGATGGACGCAATGCTCGTTCGCAAAAGTGTGACGACGGTTAGGGGCCAAACGTACCGGTGCTGAGGAAGTGATGAGTGACAAGGGGTCAAAGGCTGCGATTAAGACTGCAAGGGTATCAGCAACAGGCACGAAGCAGCTGGCCGGTGCCGATTCACGTGTGACGGCAGAAGTCGGTCGACGCAAGCAGGCAAGAGGCGGAGGATAGGTGAGGTGTTTTTCCGACCCAGCGGATGCTGCTTTTGGGAACAAACAAGGACATGTAGCGGCGGCCGACAGGCTCCGCGGACGTCACGGTACCTGACCGATGAGGCAACGCTAAGCCAGGAGCGGCAGACAATGGCGTTTTGTCCGTCGTGGGACAGACGGGTTGGAGGAAAAGTGGCTTGACATACATGTGATGGGGAAGGGGGCATGCTATAAGGTCTCCCGGACAGCTAGCCGAGCAGAGGGAAGATGAGGAGTCGAAGACGCGCAAGGGGAGATGAGACGATGGTGCTGATGCTGGTGGTGATGGCGGGGGAAAGGATGGCGGTTTGCCTCGAGTCCAACTTGGACAGGCCAGATGGGTCCAAGGAAAGAAAGAAGCTGCCAGAAGGTGTGGCAGTGAGGCTAAGAAGCCCAAGTGCCGAAGGAGAGGGAGCTGCTGACCTTGACGCGAGTGAAACGAGGGGGCGCCGTTGCTCGAGATGGGCGGCCTGTGTCTCTCTCGGCCGGGGGTCGAAGGGGAGAAGCAGTCGAGAAGGGCAGTCGAGAAGGGCAGTCGAGAAGGGCAGTCGAGAAGGGTCAGGGGAGGGGGAAAGCAGCAGCTGGCGGGAAGGGAGAAGCAGCAAGCAATGAAGCAAGCGGCGACGGACGGCGAGATGGGATGGTGGTAGTAGGAAAAGGCGGAAAGGCACGCATGAGGAAGAGAGGATCAAGGCCGGTGTGGGTCGACAAGGGAAAAAAGGTGGGGGGAGGGGAAGCTGACCAAGAGACCAAGGAAACCAAGGAAGGAGGGGGGAAGGAAGACAGGCGCTGGAAGCTTTCTAGAAGCGCGCACGGGCCACCGCCCTTGTCCTCTTGCATTCCGCCCGCTCTGACTGCAGGCGCTACTCGCTTCGGTGCAGGCGCCTGGAAGACCACGGAGCACCTGCGCTAACTTGCGCTAGTCAGGGTAGCTCTTGCCTGTCTCTGCCGCTCTTGTACAAACAAATGTCCCGCGTCCGCATACGGCCACGACCAAGTCTGCGCTATGCCGGCCGAGGAAGGGCGCCCATGTCGAGTCCGTCGAGTCCGCCGAGCTGCTTGCACTCGGCCAAGTCGACTGCTCCCACGGGGCCGCACGGGCAGAGCGGGAGTCCTCAGGACCTGTCATCCCGGAAAGCAGCTCTCTACTCTACTATATGTGTCACGACCCAACAAGGGTCCCAGTAGGCCACAGACTAATGTATAGGAGTAAAGGTTGGGCTCACACGCACCTATAGGCGTGCCCCCCTTATCCCTAGAAGCTACGTTGATGCTATCGCCGTATCCGGAGGCACCGAATATAGTAGTTAAACCTATAGGATGCTAAGGAAGTAACTTAATAGATCTAGGTAACTATAAGTAGCCGGATTAATAGGGAAACCTACCCCCCCTTATACTTTATATATATATATATATATATAGATATATAGTTATACTTATAAACTATAAGGGAATATATATTATAGTACGATTAGTTAGGTAGTAAAGATAGCTAGAAGTACTACGCTATATATATTATATTCTCCTTATTATAAGGCTAAAGCTTAGTAAAAGAGGGATTTTTCCTTTTTAGTTAGAGTAGCGAGTAATCTATAACTTACGAGCGGGGTATATATAATTCCCTACTAATACCCTACTAATATATTAGTACTATATACCTAAGTGCTTTATTAGCCTATACCTCTTAATAGCGCTCTTATAATTATCTCCCCTCTTATATAAACGTCTTAGCTATATTTATAATATATATTAATTAAGATTATACTAGTAACCTATTTAGAGGTATTTAGAACTTCGGCGTTAAATAAGAGGGAAAAACTAAAGTACTTAAAGGAAAACCCTCCCTTCTTTTATAGCTAGTCCGCCTTTAAGCCGGGTCGCGGTTATAATATATAGGAATCTTACGCTAGCTATTATAGGTATTATTCTAGTTAGTCGGAATCGCGTTAGCCTTACTATAAAGTAACCTTAGAAAGTAACTCCTTTATATATAAGGGGTATATAGCGTTAATTAATAGTATAAGCTTTTTTAGTTAATAGTTAATTATATAATTATCCTTAACCTTATCTTATAATAATATCTTCTTAGGCTCTACTTTATTTTTCTACTATAAAGCTTAGTAGACTAATTTTTATTAATACTAGCTTTTAGCTAAGCTAGTTATTATAGGATACCCTATAGTTAATAATCTAGGTACCTATAATAATATCGGCCTCCCTTAAGGAAGTTACCCCTAACTCCCTAAGGCTCTCCGCGGAAGAAGGAACCTAGAAGCTACTAAGTAAACTCTAGGAAATTACCCGGAAATCCTAGAAACAATAACTAAGTAGATTATATAGATATTTTATAGAGACTTCCCCTAGGGATATATTATATAGGGAATATACTATAATTTCCTAAGTAATAATAGCTCCTTAAGGATTATATTAATATTTCCTTAAGAAGTTACTATAAGAATATAGCGGGGAAATTATAAAGAAATACTTATACCTACCTAAGGAAAATACCGGGAAATACTGCTAATATACCGTACTACTATCGTATAATTATAAGGTTATAATATTACTTAGTTAAAGCCCTAAGTAAGGTCTTACGCTCGCTATAGTATATATATAAAAGATAGAGAACCCGCTAAATCTTAGGCGGGTAGAGAAAAATATAGATAGTTATTACTACTCTTACTTTAACTTATAAGACTAGTAGCTAGTTTATATTTAACGCGCGTAATACTATATAATAGCTAGTCTATATAATACGTTTAATTATATATAGTAGCTAGTTTATTTAATTACCTATTAGACCTATACTAGATCTAGGTAAATAGCTAGGTTAAAGTACTAGCCCTATACTAAGGGACTAGTATATAATAAATAGTAGTAATTCCTATTCCCCTAACTATTTATTCTCTTAAGGTCTATATCTAGTAGAACGGAAGATAAAAAATAAGGAAAGGGATAAGTTAACCTTAACCTATAAACCTTAATATCTTCTTAGAAAGAAAGCTCCTACTTATATATTAATAAATACTAGCTTCTTAATTGCTTTTTATAAAAGAAATACTTAGGGAACTTTAGATAAAGGTAGAACTTTAATATATTAAAGCTTAAGTAATATATAGCTTCTATTAGTAGTTAAAAAGATACCTATTTCTATAATATTTCCTATTAAGTTCTTATAGAAATAAAAGATAGCTAGATCGTATACCTTAGCGGTAGGAATAACGCTTAAAGGAATTAAGAGCGGAACTTTTATAATATAACTTACTAGCTTACTTAGCTAATTATTAAGGCCTATAGGAGCGAATTAATAACCTAGAATACGTTCTAGTAATAAGGCAATATTAGCTATAAATAATAGAGCTATATAAAAATCGGTATAGTATAGCTTCCCCCGCCCTACCTTAACTACCTCTATTAAAAGGATAAAGCCCTAGAAGTTCGCTAAACTATAACGACTAAAATAAGGAAGAACCTCTAAATAATACTACCCTTAGTAGTATATTTATAATAATAACCCTAGCGAACTAGCTAGGAAGCTTAATTATAAAAGAAGCTCTTATAAGACTACTAGTAAAAGCTATAGTATAAGAAACTATAAGAATATACCCTTATATTCCTATTTTACTATTATAAAGAAATAATAGGCATAGGGAGGCTCTATAGAATAAGCTAGTAAAAAGAGGCTCTATAATATAGTCTAAGGGAATAACCCTTAAGATAAAGACCTCTACTAAATATCTATACCTTCCTTTAGGAAAAGCGGGTTAAGATAAGCCTATCCTAATAAAATAATATATATATAAAATATATAAGTTAATTATAAGTAGAACGGATACCTTATTACCTATTTTAGCCTAGCGGTTCTAAAGATATCCGCGATATAAGAATAGGTAGGGCATAGAACATTTTAGTTAAATCTACTACTTATACTAAAACCTATAGTCTTACGTTAACTATTACGTTATAATTAGACCACCTACTAAGTTAAGAAGATATACTATAGATAGAGCTTTTTAAGCACTATAGAATATACTAGAAAGCTAACTAATTTATTTACTAGTAAGCGAGCAATAGTTTATAAAAGACGAAGGATTTCCCTAGGAGTAGTAGATAGAATAAGTAAGTTTATAAGTATCTTTTATAACGCTATTCTTTTAATATATTATTTAGCCCCTTATATACTCGTTATAAACTCTAGACGAAATCCTACCCTATACTCCTTCGACCGATCTTTCCGCTTACGTTATCGATTACCTAATCCTATACTTATTACTTATACCTTTTTATAGAAACTAAGGATAATACTACTATAAACCCTCCTTAAGCACCCTTAGTATATATTAGACTAAAAGATATAGGGAAGTTTAACCCCGCTAGCCCCTTTAATATAACGTTTAATATCCTTAAAGAAACTAAGAAAACGATTATATATAAAAGCGTTAATCGATTTATCGATTCCTTAAAGTAGGTAGCTATTCGTAGACTAAAATATACTAATAAACTAGTAATACTAATCCCTAGCTTACTCCGCGGAACCGCTATAAAATAGTATTCTAGCGATCTTAGTAA